ACAATTATATCCCAGGTTTTAACGCAGAATCTGTCAAAAATGTGATTCCTGTATCTCCCCCCCGTGTTCGATCGCTGTGTTTGCCGAGAAAGTTTATCAGGGCAACGTATAGTCGTTCGGATGGGACGAAAAACCGAGGTCCTTTGTATACATGGACGTGCACGTGAACGTGAACGATTCCTTTGCAGTTTGAATTCGATGTACAATGTGGAATATGTCCCGTATTCAATAGACAAACAGTAGGGCGTTAAATCCATTTCATTTTATTTCATTTTGTAACCATTTCATTTAACATATTATAATTTTATACGAGCAGATGACATCGTCGAGTGTCAAGAGCACATATTAACAGAAACCGACCAAGAAAATAATGAAGCACACAGCAAAATAAAAAGGCTAACAACTCGGGAAGACGGTTTTGTATATACAAGTAAGCTGAAACTCTAGTGTTCTATGCCCGTCTTCATTAGCCCAGGTTAGGAGCAGAACAGTAGGACGTTAAACCCCATTTCATTTCCACATACACAGTTGCGAGTTAAAATAATAATAGAACTTACCTTCGGCACGAACCAAAAAACCAATATGGAGTCCCAGAAGCATCAGAAGCATCTTAATTAAAATGTATTATAGTTTGTATTGTGTTATTAAATCTCGATCTACGTCGTTAACCAATACAACTGTACCCGAGATCATACGTCAATTTCTATAGATAAGCGCATTGCAATTCCTGTTTTAGGCCCGTATTATGCACTGAATTTGTGTAGCAAACGCTGCACACTACACAATATACTTTAATCACCATTTTCTGTGCTTTGTTTTATTATTTCGATTGAAAAACACGGGATGTAAAAACCGTGACATTTAGGCGCGGGAGAGACATCTCGTTTACAGTCCATTATACATTTTGTATAGTACTTGACGGACGCAAACGCCTTCTCTTGCTTTCCCAACCCGTGTGTTCAGCAACATGAAAGTAGACCAGTATTGCCTATTTATTACACCAATTATAAAACAAATAAATGATCGATGTCGAACACCGCCGATTGGGATCCGACGAAATGTTTTAATCCGCAATCAATGCAGTACAAATTCGCCGTGTTCAATGACAAGAAAGTGAAAATGTTTTATTATACTTAAAAGTCATCGAATTTCGGGCCCTTTATTTTACTGACAAGCAAAATATTTTCTTCCAAATAACATTGTGAAAGTTCCGCTTTCACTTTCTCTCGGGATTTTGAATGTTACTTTTTACCTAAATTGCTGCCGGGAACAGGGAATGTCAGGCAATGTCATGACCTTGACTCAGGGTTCAACCCCAAAACTGACCTTGCGGGAGCGGGTCACGACTTTGACCTTGACATTTATTAGCGAAAGTCTGGGTGGTACATGAAGTTTGGGACTTTTTCGATCCCAAGGTCAAGGGTCAGGTCAAAGGTCAAGGCCCCATTCGAAAGGTCTGTGAGTTGCCTATCCATGGTCATGACCTTTGATTTCCCGCGCAGACCCGGGGCCCCACCATGTGCCCGCGAGCATCCGACTCAGTAGATATTTTGGTGACCTTGACCCTTTCAGATGACCTTGACCTACCGGGGTCATGTGGACCGAGATGACATTTTGGAAGGTCAAGGTCCAGTGGTCCTGACTTTATTAGATGGGCCCCTAGGGTTCAAAAACCAAAATACTTCCCGGGCCCCTAGCGGGTCAAGGTCACGACTTTTGGTTGGCGATTTTAAAAAATGAAGAACAAATGTTGGGTCAGTCTACCGGGTCACCAAATCTCGGGGCGATCGGAAGACATTTTTTGGGCAAATTTCCCTAGAAAGTGAAATAGCTGAGCATTGAAGCGGTGTGGTCTAAGGGCAGATAACTCGCCCATCCCAATTCGGATCTGACGATCTTGAGGTCGTGACTATTTAAAGTAAATTGACCCCTGGGAGTCTCGTGGTGACCTTGGTTTGACAATCAGAGGTCAAGGTTCGAACTGCTATATATGGCGTTTCGATAACGTTATGACAACGTTGTGACAACGTTTTAACAACGTTGTGACAACAACCTGTATATGACGTTTTGACAACGTTGTGACAACAACCTGTATAATAATGACGTTTTGATATCGTTTTGAAGACGTTGTGACAACGTTTTGATAACGTTGTGACAACGTTGTGAAAACAACCTGTATATGACGTTTTGATAACGTTGTGACAACGTTGTGAAAACAACCTGTATATGACGTTTGAATAACGTTTTGATGACGTTGTGACAACAACCTGTGTATGACGTTTTGATAACGTTTTGAAGACGTTGTTACGACGCTGTGACAACGTTGTGACAACGTTGTAACAACGCCGTGACAACAACATATATATGACGTTTTGATAACGTTGTGACAACAACCTGTATAATAATGACGTTTTGATATCGTTTTGAAGACGTTGTGACAACGTTGTGACAACGTTGTAAAAACGCCGTGACAACAACCTGTATATGACGTTTTGATAACGTTGTGACAACGTTGTGAAAACAACCTGTATATGACGTTTGAATAACGTTTTGATGACGTTGTGACAACAACCTGTGTATGACGTTTTGATAACGTTTTGAAGACGTTGTTACAACGCTGTGACAACGTTGTGACAACGTTGTAACAACGCCGTGACAACAACATATATATGACGTTTTGATAACGTTGTGACAACAACCTGTATAATAATGACGTTTTGATATCGTTTTGAAGACGTTGTGACAACGTTGTGACAACGTTGTAAAAACGCCGTGACAACAACCTGTATATGACGTTTTGATAACGTTGTGACAACGTTGTGAAAACAACCTGTATATGACGTTTGAATAACGTTTTGATGACGTTGTGACAACAACCTGTGTATGACGTTTTGATAACGTTTTGAAGACGTTGTTACAACGCTGTGACAACGTTGTGACAACGTTGTAACAACGCTGTGACAACAACATATATATGACGTTTTGATAACGTTGTGACAACAACCTGTATAATAATGACGTTTTGATATCGTTTTGAAGACGTTGTGACAACGTTGTGACAACGTTGTAAAAACGCCGTGACAACAACCTGTATATGACGTTTTGATAACGTTGTGACAACGTTGTGAAAACAACCTGTATATGACGTTTGAATAACGTTTTGATGACGTTGTGACAACGTTGTGCTAACAACCTGTATATGACGTTTTGATAACGTTTTGAAGACGTTGTTACAACGCTGTGGCAACGTTGTAACAACGTTGTAACAACGCCGTGACAACAACCTGTATATGACGTTTTGATAACGTTGTGACAACGTTGTGACAACAACCTGTATATGACGTTAGAATAACGTTTTGATGATGTTGTGACAACGTTGTGACAACAACCTGTATATGACGTTTTGATAACGTTTTGATGACGTTGTGACAACGTTGTCACAACGTTGTGTCAACAACCTGTATATGACGTAAATACAACGTCGAATATTGGTCGAAAACACGTTGTACAACGTCACGACCAATATTGACGTTGTCACAATGTTGTAACAACGTTGCGTGCCCGCTGGGAGGCCTATCACAGTAATGGCCTACATTGGTCAAAAAAAGTAATAACAAATATCACTATTCTTTTATGTCTATAAATATTGAAATTATAGGCTAGGCCTAAAATAAAAACAGGTCACATTTCCATAAGCTGGGATACGTAAGTTCGATCCTTTCAGGGTTTGGGTTTTTTTTCTTTTGGAAACCGATTGACTCTTTTTGTTCACTTGTTGGCGACCCCTAGCTTGGTGGTTTACGAAAGGTAACATATTCCCTTAAAATCGGAGAAATTTGGGGAAATTATCTTGCATGGTTTTTAATTGAGATAAACAGTTTCCCGAATTGCCACTGGTTGGGCATATGATCAGCCTATGATTATATAGCGTCTAAACTGGATTGAAAGGCGCATAGACTTTCGGATGGGACGAGAAACCAAGGACCAATGTATTCCACTGAAAGAATATTAAAGATCTCCCGACAGATGGAAACCGAAATAAGAGAATTAAGGTAATAACTGACAGGGCCAAATTGCCATGCGTGACATACGTCTGGTTTCATTTTCCCGGTTGGAACAGAAAAGTAAAGCTTTAAAGTTCATCACATATTTCTACTCTGTATATGCCATGGTTTGTTCTGTCTGGAAGCCGGGGTGACACATTTGGTAAGGTGTGGAGGTTCACGAGGATTTTCCAACACGATTTTCCATCGTCAGTGCACTGCGGGGGGGGGGGGGGTAAGAAACTGTCTAGTCGTTCGGATGGTACCAAAAACCTAGGTCACGTGTAAAGGAACTCTTGTAGCAGTTGGAATTCGAAATATGCGTAGGCCCGAGGCCGTAGCACATTGTATGACATATGTCCTTTTACATTATCCCGGTTGTTGTAGAAAAGTAGGAGATTAAATAAATCCCAATTGAGTTCATTTATCTTCACGATGTCTCCTCACTATGTTTGGCATCAGGTCCCGGGTTCGATGTTGGTGTTGACCTAAAGGGTTGCCATGAATTTTCAGTCTGCCTTATCGTTGCCAGTTGGACAGGACGTAAAAGGAAAAGGTCTTCAGGTGAGAAGAAAAAATTAGGTTCCACTTTCAAAACGGTAAAAATGCCCTGACAGTTGTAAACTGAAATAAGAGGTTAACATGCAGCCCCTACAAGGCCTAAAAATCGCGTGAAAATATAATATTCGTAGAATATTTCTCTGAATGATAGAGACCAGTGAAAAGAGTTTCTCTCGACATACTCACTAGAGACCCCCCCCCCCCCTTCACCCAACTACCGAATAAAAACCAAAATAATTTTTAAGGGCAATTCTACTCTTGACGAAATCATATACAAAGGCTATTGTAAAGTAAAGTTTCCCTAAACCATTTCATGATATTAAAAAAAAAAACAATTGTAACTTTTCCAAAGTTCCCTGATTACGGTACGTCAAGTGACGACATATTACCACAATCGATAATTGATTAACGAAATTGATAAGTGCAGGAAACAGCACTGCACGCAAAAGCGGGGCGGAGTCCACCGATGTTGTCACCATACAGGGTACATAATATCGACAAAGATAAACCAATCTTATCTATTTGAGTACACTGTAAATAAGGAGGATTATTTATGTTGGTAAGTTGTTTTTCTTAAATATAATAGGCTCCATATAGGCTAAGATAGAATTTTAATTAAAATACCCGAAGATTTGGTGGAAACGTTACAACATTTATAACAGAAATGTCGTAGGTTTATCCCATGATGCTTTCTACTATTGTCATTATTCTTATGTAATGACATTTTAATACGTGACCGACTGATCATTATCTCGTGATAAAACGACAACAAAAAGATTACTATAAATACATGTATATAACAAATTTACACCTATATAGTGTTCTACATAATGTTCAATTCATAATAAATATAGGGGTGTATATTCAAACTTAGCCCTGAAATGAAATGAAAGGGCTTAAACGCCCTACTTTCCTGAATCAACCGGGCTAATGAAGACGGCCAGTGTGCTATAAATAAAATGTGACCCGACCGATATGGGTTCTTTAACGTGCACGTCAACGTGTTACAGCCTACACGGAACCTTGATTTGTGGTCCAATCCGAACTACCCGACGCCGTTCCTTTTCGGGCTCTCCGTCCTACCCCGCTGACAAGGGAAAACCACCCCGAGGAACTTTCTTAAGACCCGGACATGCTGGTTGATGAGCCAGAGCCTCACCCACTGAGCCACCATGGCCCCTAAACTAAGGCCCTTCAAGTGCCAAACGAAGTCCTTCAAGTGCCAAACAAAGTCCTTCAAGAGCCAAGAAACGATTACCAAAATTTGAACCTCGTCGTTATAAACAACGGTATTCTAAATTTTCGATCGACCTAAAACGACCTGTCACACTGAAAAGGTTAAAAAAAGCAAAATGAAGGGATGCTCTTTCAGCCCACGTACACACAAAAAAAAAATCCCCGAGTCCCCGAGCACTAAAACAGCAACCATCTGTATTATAGATAATGAACTGATTGTGTGGAAATCGTTTAAGAATTATTAACTTTATTTATCAAGGTGATAGAATGAAATGAAGCGGAGTTCAAAGTCCTTTTCTGCTCTTCACTGAAAAATTCCAAATGTCAAGGGTTCTTTTACCTAGGTTTTCGTCCCATCCGAACGATGGCGTATGTCCGTCTTCATCGGGCCAATACGGCCGGCCGGGTGGTAGGATGACATGAAATGGGGTTTAACGTCCAACTTTTCTCCATTAACCGGGCTCATGAATGAAGACGGGTGGAAAGTTTGTCCACCCAGCAACGTTTCCGCTAACTCTCCGCCGAATTCAAACTGTCAAGGGTTCTTTTATAGCGAGTAGTCGTTCGGATGGGACGAAAGCCAGGGTAAAAGAGAGAGAGAGAGAGAGAGAACTGGGGTTTAACGTCCTCTCGACACAAACTAGGTCATTTCGGGACTAACATATGGTTTAATTTTATTTCAATAATTCGCTTGCGCGTAGAGGTCTTTAGCAGTGGGAGGAAACCGGAGGACCCGGAGAAAACCCACGAGGTTGGACAGGCGACCCTACTCCTTGTCACGTACAACCGGGGATTCGAAACCACGCCAGTTGACTCAATGACAGGTCTATGATACAGCACGCACGTGCTAACCATTTGACCACCCAACCCACCACAGGGTAAAAGAATACGTTACAGATGGTATTCAATTAAAATAGGGGGAACAGCCAGTCCGGCGTATATCAGTCTTCATTATCCCGGTTGATTCAGAACAGTAGGACAGGGCCGTAACTAGCTCAGAGCAACAAGGTGAGCGGGAAGTGTTCTCAAGGGGGCTGAATTATTGACGGACAATGTATATATATTTTTTTTATGGCGAAAATCTTTTCACAGGGGGGGGGGGGGCGAAACTTTTTGCAGCCCCCCGCCCTCTAGTTACGGGCCTGGTTAAACCCCATTCTATTTCATTTGTTCCTTTAAATCTTTATAACCGTCAATGTGGTGTTTGTTTTTGTTTTCAAGATCACTGACACCAATATATAGCAAAGTAATGATGCGGTTAACAGTTCTGGTATTTTTGCTGTCACATCAAATCTTCACCAATGGGGATAAAGACGTTACGACAATGCAAATACCAAAGCCAACAGCTACACCCAATGTGCCACCTTCTTCAAAGTTAACATCTACGCCAGCAGCAAACACTATAACTTCGCAAGCAACGATAGATACGCCAGCGCCAAAAACTTCGCAAACAGTGACATCTACGCCAGCAGCAAACACTGCAACTTCGCAAGCAACGACAGATACGCCAGCGCCAAAAACTTCGCAAACTGTGACATCTACGCCAGCAGCAAACTCTACAACTTCACTACCAACGACAGCTACAACTTCACTGCCAACGACAGCTACGCCAGTAGCAAAAACTACAACTTCGCTAACAACGTCAGCTACACCAGCACCAAACAGTACAACTTCACAACAAACGACAGCTACGCAACCGCCAGCAACTTCGCAAACAGTGACATCTACGTCAGCAGCAAACGATACAGCTTCACTACCAACGACAGCTACGCCAGTAGCAAACACTACAATTTCGCAACCAACGACAGCTACACCAGCACCAAACAGTACAACTTCACAACAAACGATAGCTACGCCACCGCCAGCAACTTCGCAAACAGTGACATCTACGCCAGCAGCAAAGACTACAACTTTGCAACCAACGCCAGCTAAGCACACTTCCACTTCGCAACGAGTAACATCTACGCCAGTACCAAACCCATCAACAGTGCCACCAGTGAGATCTACGCCAGCACCAAAAACTTCAACATCTCAGCCAGTGACATCTACATCAGCATCAGATACTTCAACTTTGCAACCAGTCACATCTACTTCAGCACCAATAACTTCAACTTCTCAACAAGTTACATCCACGCCAGCACCAATAACTTCAGCTTCGCCCCGAGCCACCTCTACGCCAGCACAAACCTCTTCAGCTTTGCCTCCTGCGACATCTACGCTAGCACCAAACCCATCAACTTCGCATCCAGTGACATCTACGCCAGCACCAACTCCTTCAGCTTCGCATTCAGCCACCTCTGTGTCAGCACCAACCTCTCCAGCTTCGCATCCAGCGACATCCACGTCAGCACCAACTTCTCCAGGACCATCATCAGAAGCATCTCCAGCAAGTTCTGGTTCCTCGGGTAATTCAGGTAGGACAATTATCTTACTGGGTGCACAACCCAGTCTAATATATACTAAAGAGATTATGACACACAGTTCGAATTCAAGAAGTATAACGGACTGTAAAAATCTGCATCACGGTTCATAATTGGCTATTATCAATTCTACGCCAGCACCAACCCCTTCAGCTTCGCCCCAACCACCTCTTTGCCAGTACCAACCCCCTCAGCTTCGCATCCAGGGACATCTAGACAAACATCACCACCATCGTCAGCATCTCCAACACGTTCTAGTTCTTCGGGTAATTGAGGTAGGCTAAAAATTTTATTGAGTGCACACAACCCAGTGTGTGCGAGGGGTGATTGATAAGTAAGAAATTCAAATCAAATGCATTTATTTTTCAACATAGTCTCTCTTCAATGTAATATACTTCTGCCATCGGTGTTGCAGGGCCTTTATTCCAGTTCCGTAGAAGTCTTTGTCTTGGGTGTGTAGAAACTCAATGACGTCATCGTCAGACGGGAAATGCCTACCGGAAAGGCATTTCTTCAGAGCAGGAAACAGATAGAAGTCTGAGGGAGCTAAATCAGGAGAGTAGGGTGGATGCTGAAGAAGTTGAAAACCACAGTCATGGATTGCTGACATGGCAACAGCTGATTTGTGCATTTGCGCATTGTCCTGGTGGAAAATCACACCTTTGGTCAGCTTTCCTCGTCTTTTGGTCTTAATTTCTTGCCTCAACTGCCAAATAAGTGCTGCACAGCATCTACCGTTAATTGTTTGACCCTTTTGGGGGTAATCCACCATGAGAACACCCTCAGAATTCCAGAATACTGAGGCCATCGCCTTTCCTGCCGATGAAACAGTCTTTGCCTTCTTTGGGGTCGGCGACGTCACATGTTTCCACTGTTTTGACTGCTCTTTTGTTTCTGGCTGAAAGTGGTGGACCCAGGTGTTACATAATCACAGATGTTATAGACGATTCCTGTCACCTTGACAGTGAAAGGGATTTTAATATCAATATATCAACCTGTCCGACCCCTGGAGTTCTTGGTAGCATTCCTTATGTGATTATGTAATCTTAACTTGTTGTTGGCATGTTTTATTTAAACTTTCTTTGTCTGATTGTATCGAATGTTAAACCTGATATGATACATGATACATTAGCCAGATACCTAATAAGATCCTTTGTTTGGAAGGGTTTATAAACCCAGATAACAAACGAATCGACAGTGAGTTCCGGCCAGGACACGAGAGCGCAGGCCACGGTCGCCTTAGCACGAGACGAGACGGAACGAGGGAGAGCGTCTTGGAGTTGACACATTTGTGCCAAGCTAGGACATACAATACAAGTTAGTTCTGGATGTCTTTAACATTACGATGTTTGTACTTGATATGCAAGAAGCAAAGAATGAAAGTATTAGAAGATGTTTAACTAGTCTTGTCATCTGAACTTGATAGAAAGCAATACTGTAACATAAGTTTCATCCATAGTAACAATTTGTTTTAGGCTAGCTTCTCTTCTGACATGATGTGTCTTGAACGCTTTTGATCAGGCGTCAAAAGCTTTGGCACCCATCGTGCTGAAACCTTTGTCATTTCCAAAGCTTCAGTGATAATAGAATGAACTCTCTTCTGGCTAATACCAACTACCCCAGCTATGAATCGTTCAGTAGCTCGCCGGTCATTCATTATCAGATCATGGATTTTTTGTACCATTTCAGGTGTTGACACAGTTTTTGGTCGACCAGGGCGTGGTTCGTCTTCAATGCTGTCTCGGCCAAGCTTGAATTCAGCTGACCACCTTTTAATTGTGGCATATGAAGGAGCATCATCTCCTAATGTCTCAACTATATCATCATGTATGGCTTTCGGTGTTAGACCCTTTTATGCAGATACTTAATCACAGCTCTCGCCTCGATATGGTCCATTTTCTGATAACAACAGACACTACTTGATTGTTATGGCCTGTCACAACCAAACAGTTTAACCGAATGTGATGAAAGTTTGTGACAGAGCCCGAGGAATATAATAGTGCACGTGCAAAACGTGGTATCATTGTGTTGCACGGTTTTCCAATCGAGGCTCACTATATACTTATCAATCACTCCTCGTACATACATGTAGTAAAGAGATTATATCACGCAGTTTGAACTCATAAAATATAGCCGACTGTAAAAATCTCAAATATCATGGAAATATAACCTTTGTATAAAAAGAAAGCGTGACACGTAGACAGCGGGCAAGCAAAATTACGGTAATTGAAGAGCCAAAACTCTGGAAGCAAAATAGCGATTGCGTTCAGATTCAAATTTATCTACACATAAGAATCATTATCTTTGAGTTTAAAAAGAATAGTCAAAAATTGTGGCATCTCGAGAACAGACAAGGCCATTAAATTCAATCCCAGTTGTCGCCTACCCTTAAGTATCATTATCCAAAGGCTTGAAAAAGATTCTTCAAATAATTTGGGCTTTAGAAACTGATAGCGGAAAGCAAAATTGGGCTAATAGGGTCATAATTCCTGAACCAAAACTGCGATTCGATTACGCCCAAATTTACCCCCAATCGTCTATTCATAAGAACTACTTATCTTGAAGTTTAAAACAGATTCGTCAACATGTGTGGCCTCTAGGGAGCGAACAAGCAGAATTACTCTAATTAAAGGGCCAGATCTCCGGAACGAAAAAAAAGACCATTGCTCACAATTGTTTACACCCTACAGTTTGAAACAGATTCTTAAAAAAAAATGTGAACTCCAGAGACTGAACAAGCAGAATAACGCTTATTAAAGGGCTATAAATTCAGAACCCCCCAAAAAAGAAAAAAAAGCGCTTGCGCTCAATTTCAATCCCAATTGTCGTTTATCCCCTACGAACTATTATCCTATAGCTTGAAAAAAAAAATCCTAGAGAATTGTGGCATTTTGCTAGCGGACAAGCAAAATTATGCAAATTAAAGAGCCATCAGCCATAACCCTGGAACAAAAATAGCGATTGCGCTCATCCTCAAATTTTTGTCTCTAGATGGACCGACATGACAGCTATATACGCATATTACGTGCGTATGTTTCTTTTTTTTTATTGTGACCCCCTACCCCCACCCCATACTAACTAATTCTCATACATTTCCATACGATATTTATTTAGCCCAATTTGTCCTTCGAATACAAAGGGGGTGGGGTGGTTTAACGCGTGTACGTTTGGTAATAAGGTCTGGCACTGAGTCAAGCGGCGTGGTTTCGATTCCCCCAACTGTACGTGACAAGGAGTAGGGTCACTGGTCCAACCCTCGTGGGTCTTCTCTGAGTCCTACACCCCCCCCCCCTTCTAAAGACACATACGCGCAAGCGAATTATTGAAATAAAACTGAACCATATGTTACTCCCAAAATTAATTAAGTTTGTGTCGAGTGAACGTTACTCCCCATTTCCCCCCCTCTCTCTCTCTCTCTCTCTCTCTCTCTTTCAGATAATACCAAAATCGTTGTACCGGTTGTCGTGACATGTGTTGCGTTATTCTTCGTATCAACCATCGTTGTTATCATAGTTCTAAGAAGACGAAGAAGTGCACTCTTATAGTAAGTTATCGAACCAACTATGTATAATAAAATAAAATGGGGTTCAACCTCTTACTTTTCGGCACCAATCGGTCTAATAAAGACGGACAGTGCGTTATAGAACAATTTATTTTGCCACGACTGACACCGAATTCCGACTATCAAGGGATCTTTTTCGTGCACATCAACGTGTACAAGGCCCCACCACAACTACTAGACGATGTTCCTTGTCCCTGTTCCTGCATAAACCAATTCAGTGTGTCGTGATGGAAATTTAGCCCGAACAGCGCCATTTCCGTCTACTCTTTGTCCCATCCGAAGGACTATACGCTCTTCCTTGCAAGGCCCTCCTTCATACATCACTGACAAGGGAACAGGTGAGTATGGCACGGGCTCACGAGCAAGAAAATCCCGGATTCGATTATGTGATTTTCCAAGTAAGGTGCTCGGGCTATAAAATCTAGTACGTTGACCCGGCTACCCTAACCCTAACCCAACCCTAACCCTAACCCTGGAAGTCAAAAGTAGCCGGATTAACGTACTGCGCCTAAAATCTTCTACTTTTCCCATCTTTACACTGTTGGCTGATCCAATCGTCTGCATCGGGATACCTGTGCACTGTAGCCAAATATGGAAAGGGGTAATTGGAAATGATTCTGGGTGGTTTAGAGGCTATTTGGAATCAAATGTACTTATAAATAAAGAAAGTGGGTTAAAATAGACAGTGTAACAATTAAAGTGGTAAGATTTATAAAATGCCCCCCCCCCCAAAAAAAAAATATAATACCCCCCCCCCCCCGAAAAAAAAGAAAATCAGCCACAATTTTTTTTCTCTCTTTCATTATTTTTCTTTTCCAACCTCTTACAGTCGTTTCCAGATGAGACGCCTGATTGCAGATGATGATGACCGGATATTGTTTGGGGAGACTGATAACTTTGTTAATGGTGGATCCGAGTTTTAGTAATCCACTTTACAGAAAACTGACTGTCTGTTGATTAAATACCATGGAACGGAACAATATTGTAAACAAGGGTGCCTTTTACTCTACAGGTTATTTAGTTCTTGTGTTAACGACTGGATTAAGACAGGCGCCTTAGGGGCTGCAGCTCCGGGGCTCAGTCAGCTAAAGGGCATCGAGAGATTAAGTTGAAGGAGCTAAGTCTCTAACTCAATATTTTCCATAATTCGAAATTGAAAACACGAATTAGAATTCAATATTAATCAAGTTCAATCAATATTGATGCTGTTATCTTGTCGTGAAACTATAGAATCCTAATATCCAATATTTCTAACACAATTAACATTTTATAATCCGTACACGAGACGTCTACCATATGGTTTCGGGTGCCATTTTGTAATGAACAAATAAAAACATATCCCACGACACAATGTTTAGGGGGGTTGGGATGGCCTAGTGGTCTAGAGTGTCACGCTTCGACCTCTAGTTGGCCGGTCACCTCTGGCTTGCGGCTGTGGTTTCGATCCCAGGTGTGAGCGTATGTGGCTTGGAGATAGGGGCGCCTTCTCAACCTCGTGGGTTTACTCCGGGTACTCCGATTTCCTCCCACAGCAAAGACCCCTGCGCGTGCGCTAAGATCATTAAAATGAACTTGTCTGCGATATCACCTTCGGTGGAAGCGGACGTTAAACGCTAAGAACAACAACACAATGTTTAAGTAATAAGTTAAGGCTGATTCACGAACGGCAAAATAATAATTTAAAAAATGTGTAGAATGCACTAAGTAGGCGTAAACAAATGCCTTTTAATTTGAACTGTTCACGTATTTCACCGAACATAATTGACTAGAAATTACAACGTAGTTTTCAAAAATTGCATATAAATCACTTAACATATATTCATATTACATTAATATGTGCTTTTAGAATCATTTTTGTTCTATTTCTTTGTTACAAAAATAGAGTCATAGGCCCTTTAAATGTTATTTCATTGGAACGGAACACTTTCCGTAGTCCGGGGACATAATATAAAATCTTAATCCGACTCTGGTGTTTCCTTTTTTCAAATAAAGACATTTTGCATTAACGCCTGAAGTATTAATTATGGATAACCCATAAATTAGTGGGGTTTTCTTTTACAAATATTTCCTAATCAAAACATTATAAATGGACGTGTTTTAATAGACTAAACATCATCTTTTAATGTGTAAAGTTTCAAGTGCAATTTGTGTGTACACACAATTCAATTACATTTATACATGTTTCAGTTTGCGTATGTTTAAATTTGTGTGTACATGTTTAAATTTGTGTGTACATGTTTCAATTGGTGTGTACATGTACTTGGTGTATACATGTTTCAATTGGTGTGTATATATTGCACCTGTACATGGTTATGTTTGTGTATATGTTTGTGCACATCATGTTCAAATTTGTGTGTACATGTTTCAATTAATGCTCAGTTTGTACATTTCCATGTTATTTTATATATTTAAATGCTTTTATATTAGCTTAAATAAAGATATAATAAAACAACCGAATATTCAGAATTTAAAAACATATTGTAGGTTCGTGTCCGGTGGAGGGGGGGGGTGGGCTTGCTCGGACAGAGCATTTTTTCTCATTGAAATAACGTTAAAGAAAAAACTAATGGTCGAAGCATTGCCGACGTTTTGGCCTCGCTCCACGCTGTTCAGCTGTAATTGTGTATCAGTGTGTCTGACATTATAGATAATCCCCCAGAAATCCCGTCAAATCCCCCGCTGCTCAAATCCCTGGACATGCCCCTGATTTTGTAAAATGTTTTTAATCCGTTTCACATCTTTCATACACATAAAGACTACAAAAAACATTTTCCATTTTATTAAATAGACGCAGAATAACTTCTTCTCAAAATTGTAGAATCAAACTTTGTGTTTTCGAATAAAATCGTCGATTTAGGAATTAAAATTTCGGTCAATGAGCTTGGTGTCTGTTCTCAAGAGCGGTGGTGGTGGTGTGGGAGGGCGGTGGTGGTGGTGGTGGTGTGGGAGGGCGGGGGGATCTTTTGCTTTAACGCGTGCGCTTGAAAACATAAGGTTTGTCATTGACTCAAGTGACGTGCTTTCCATTCCCCGCTTATACGTGTCAGTTAGTATGGTCGCCTGTCCAATCTCATGTGTTTTATTGAAATAAAAATGTCCAACCTCGTGGGTTTTCTCCGGGTCCTCCGGTTTCCTCCCACTGCCGAAGACCCCTACGCGCAAGCGAATTATTGAAATAAAATTAAACCATATGTTAGTCCCGAAATGACCTAGTCTGTGTCGAGTGGACGTTAAACCCCATTTCTCTCTCTCTCTCTGAAATAAAAATTAAACCATGTTAGTCCAGAAATGACCTAGTCTATGTCGAGTGGACGTTAAACCGTATTTCTCTCCCTGTGTTTTCGAGCGTAGCTATATATATAAGTCAGCGTAACTTTCGTATGGTATATCAAGTGACGTCAACTTTCCACATCCGCTTACCTATTAATTAAAGAAAAGGGGGCGGAGCATACCGATGTTGTCACATATAGGCCACAAACAATATCCTGTTAAGATAAAGATCGTACGGACTACTTTCGACAAAGACAAACCAGTGTTATCTATTTGGGAAAATAAGAAGACTTATTTATGTTTGGTAAGTTGTTTTCCTAAAGTTTACCAGACTCCTTATATAGGACAGAATAGCCGAAGATTTGGTGAAAACTTTACAAAATTTATAACAGAAATATCGTAGATTTATCCCATGAGCCTTTCTACTATTGATATTATCTTGTCTACTGACATTTTAATACGTGACTGACGGATCATTATCTCGTGACTCTAAACAACAACTAAAAAGTTTCTATATATATAACAAATGACATCTCGTGATACGTGTAGTTGTAATTCGAAATAAGAGTAAGTCGTGGCGCCGCTGTCCTCAGATAACAAACCTCATCTCTCAACCCCCCGTCACGTCAGTATATCTCAACGTTTTTAGCTACGTTCTCGTACGGGGATCACGTGGCTAAGTGGGTAAGACGCTGGCTCGCTAGCCTGGAGGTCGGGTGTTCGATCCCTGCATTGGCCGAGAAAGTTCATCCAGATTTTCCGGCGTGGTTTCCCCTTGTCAGTGATACAGGACGGAGGGCCTGACAAGGACAGCTGTCTAGTCGTTCGGATGGGACGAAAAACCGAGGTTCCGTGTACACATTGGCGTGCACGTAAAAGATCCCTTGGAAGTTGGAATTTGATATTTCATTTACGTTCTCGTAGCTACTGTCCTCATAGCACTGTATGGCGTGTGCCCGGATTACTTTTATAACCCGGTCGGTGCAAAAATGTAGAACGGTTAAACCCCCATGCCATTTCATTTCATTTCACCTATATCATTTTATATGTTTATTTCATGATCCTAATAAATATTGTGGTGTTTATTCACATCAAGTCCTGAAATGAAATAAAATGGGTATTAAAGGCTCAATACCACTCTTGCTGTAACTGAATAATATGTCCCAATCTTTAATCTGGTCAACAAATTGTACTGTTTTACAATATTCCAATTAATTGGTGATATAAATTTCATCTTAACACACCTAATTTAAAAAATTGGAAAAATTCAACTAAATTATTTGAAAAGCCTGACGTAAAGCTTTTCAAATGTGACTTGGATTTAAAAATATTTTTGAACCCTCTGGACAAGTAAAATAAGATTTAATGGATAATTTACACAGCAGGTAAGACACTAACACATCTAGTACTTAGAATAAGGCTATTTTTTTATTTTCTGGAGCTGTCAAGCCAGCAAGAGTGTTATTGTCCCTTTAATGTCCTACTTTTTATGCACCAAACGGCCTATTGAAGATTGACACGCCATGCAGCGTGCTAGGAGGACAATTTGGAATCGTATTCTATCAAGGGGTCTTTTACGGGCACGCCAACGTGTGCACATGACCTTAATTTTTGGTCCCATCCGAACGATTAGACTATGTTCCTTGTCTGGCCCTCCGTCCTACGCCACTGACAAGGGGAATCCCCGCCGGAAAATCCCGAAGAATCGTCTCGATCCCCGGACCTCCTGGTTAGTGAGCCAATGCCAATACGGCCGGGTGGTAGGATGACATGAAATGGTGTTTAACGTCCCACTCTTCTGTATTAATCGGGCTCATGAAGACAGACATTCGCCATGCAGTTAGGGAACTGTCAAGAGTTCTTTTATAGCGAATAGTCGTTCGGATGGGACGAAAACCTAGGTAAAAGACAGTTGGTATTCAATTATGAGTAGGCCGAGAAACCACTGCCCGGGCAATATTCACCACTATACATGGCGTATGTCCTTCATTATCCCAGTCGGTGCAGAACAGTATTAACCGGACTCATGAAGACGGACATACGCCATGCAGTCAGGGAATGTTTGCCCACACAGCGAAGTTTCCGCTAACTCTTCGCCAAATTCCAACTTCAAGGGGTCTTTTGTAGCGAATAGTCGTTCGGATGGGACGAAAACCCAGGTAAAAGAACCCGTGACAGTATTCAGTAGGTGGAAAAGCGACTGTCCGGTCTATGCCAGTCTTCATTAACCCGGTTGGTGCAGAACAGTAGGACGTTAAACCCCATTCTATTTCATTAGTTCCTTTAAATCTTTGTAACCGTCAATGACTGGTTTTTTTTACAAGGTCACTGACATCAATATAGCAAAGTAATAATGCGGTTAACAGTTTTGGTGTCATTGCTGTCACTTCAAATCTTCACCAATGGAGATAGTGGCGTGGATCAAATGCACCAGACAGGAAATTCTTCGCATCCAGCACCAAACTCATCAACTTTGCAAGCAGTGACACCTACACCAGCACCAATAAATCCAGCTTCGCAGCCAGTGACATCTACGCCATCACCAAGCCGTTCAACTTCATTTTCAGTGACATCTACACCAACACCAAGCCGTTCAACTTCGCTTCCAGTGACATCTACGCCAGCACCAAAAACTTCAACTTCACAACCAGTGACATCTACACCGTCACCAATCCGTTCAACTTCTCTTCCAGTGACATCTACGCCAGCACCAAAAACTTCGCAACCAGTGACATCTACGCCAGCACCATTCACTTCAGCTTCACATCCATCTACGTCAGCACCAAACCCTTCAACTTCACAACCAGCGACATTCACGCCAGCACCAACCTCTCCAGCTTTGCATCCAGCTACATCCACGCTAGCACCAAAAACTTCAACTTCGCAACCAGTCACATCTACGCCAGCACCATCCACTTCAGCTTCGCATCCAGTAACATCTACGTCAGCTCCAAAAACTTCAACTTCGCAACCAGGGACATCCACACCAACGCCACCCACTTCAGCTTCGCACCCAGTGACATCTACGTCAGCTCCCAAAACTTCAACTGTACAACCAGTGACGTTTACGTCAGCACCATCCACGTCAGCTTCGCATCCGGTGACATCTACGTCAGCTCCAAATTCTTCAACTGTACAACCAGTGACGTCAACGTCAGCACAAACTCGTTCAACTTTGCATCCAGTGACATCAACGCCAGTACCAACCTCTCCAGCTCCGTCTCCTGTGGCATCTACGCTAGCCCCAAAACCATCAACTTCTCATCCAGTGACATCTACGCCACGACCAACCCCTTCAGCTTCGCAATCCGTCACCTCTATGCCAGCACCAACCTCTCCAGCTTCGCATTCAGCGAAATCCACATCAGTACCAACTTCTCCAGGACCTTCATCAGAAGCATCTCCACCAACACGTTCTGATTCCTCGAGTAATTCAGGTAGGCCAATTATCTTATTGAGTGCACAACCCAGTCTATACACTAAAGAGATTATTGGACGCAGTTCGAATTCAAGAAATATAACGGGCTGTAAAAATCTTCATCACGGTTCAGATACATTATCATATAAAATCATAATTTTTTACTATCGATTCTTGCGTGTGTTGTTTTTGTTGTTGGTGGTGGTATTTATTTATCCCAGTTTCTCTTTCAGATACTACAAAAATAATTGTTCCTGTTGTCGTGACATGTGTTACGTTGTTCTGCATCACGACCATCGTTGTTATCGTAGTTCTAAAAAGACGAAGAAGTGTCCTCTTATTGTAAGTTGACGAACCAAAAATGCGAAATAAAAAATGAAATAGGATTTGACGTATTACTTTTTGTCACCAAAGGAGACGGGCATGTTACTTTTTGTCGCCAATGGAAACGGGCATACGTCATGCAGTGTGCTGTGAGTGAAATTTTGCCCGGACAGCGGCACTGCGACCTTCTCTTATTTCGAATTCCAACTGTCAAGTCAATGGTGAACGTAACTGTGTTTTTAGTCCCGTACGAACAACTACACACTGTCCTTGCCAGACCTCCCCCCTGTCAGTGATGCAGGACGGAGGGCCTGACAAGGACAGCTGTCTAGTCGTTCGGATGGGACGAAAAACTGAGGTCCCGTGTACACATTGGCGTACACGTAAAAGATCCCTTGACAGTTGGAATTCGATATAAGAGTTGGCCGTAGTGCCGCTGTCCGGGCAAAATTTCCCTCATAGCACACTGTGTGGTGTATGCTCGTCTCCATTAGCCCAGTCGGAGAAGAACAGTAAGACATTAAACCCCAATTCATTTCATTCCATTTCCTTGCCAGACCCTACTTATCGTAGTGAATGATACGGAAGTATATTTGGATTGATTTTGGAAAAGATTTGTTTGATAGAAACAGAAGGTCGGTTCAATTAGGCATTGTAACAATTAAATTGGTAAAATTTATGAACTGCCGAGAAAAAAAATCTGTTATATATAACTTAAGGATCTCTCCGTCTCTTTGATTTCTCTTTTCTAATTTATTACAGTCGGTTCCAGATGAGACGTCTGCGTGTAGATAACGATGAAATGATATTAGTTGGAGATGGTGATAACTTTGATGATGGTGGAGACCCGAGTTTCAGCAATCCACTTTACAGAAAATTAACGGTTGATTAAACACCATTAAATGGAACAATATTTAAAACAATAGTGCCTTTTATGATACATTAATTTTACTACTTGTACTAACGGTCGGATTAAGGTAGCGGCTTTGGGGACTGCAATCTGTGGACTTCAGTCTGTCGAAGGGCCTCCAGAGGTTATGCTGGAGGTTATTTCATCGGAACGGGAGATTATTTGAAACAAGAGTGCCTTACATCATACATTTAGTTCGTGTACTAACTGCCGATTAAGGCAGTAGGTTGACGGACTGTAGGCCACCTAATGTTAAATGTTGTTACATTTGTGGATGATTAAGTACCCTTATATGTTAGTGTTTAAAATAGGGTTCTTTTAATATACTGTATATATGTAGTAAACACTGTACGATAAAAAGAGCTCTGTACTGTATACCATGGACTGCCGATGGGTAAAAAGTTTCATTCATACAGATATCGCCCGAGGTAATGGTAATACATGTATGTAGTAGTTATTAGCACACTTTCCGAGGTGTATCGGTGAATATCAGGACAGTTTTGGTCGAGGGGCCCAGCCGAGCCGACCAAAACTGTCCTGATATTCACCGATACACTGAGGAAAGGTGCTAATAAGTTACTTACATCACATTTCTATCGAGTATTGTGAAGCAAAATGTGAAAAATAGTATTTATTATCGAGTCGTTTCAACCGAAAAGTGACAAATACTTTCTGTTCTTTCATTATTTATCCCTTTCTGAGCCTCACGTTACATTTCATGGTAGAATGATTTCGCAGTGGAGAGACGACCTGAGTAGTATTTACACGTGCGTCTTGCTATGATACAATCACGTGTTTGTTTAGACCAGATCGTCAAAACAATGTCTATGGCGTAGAGGACTGCGATATTATTAAATGTAGTGTAAAGGAAATTCGAAATGTGGGTCATTCCTGGTGAAAGTATGCATCGGCGGATGGTTCTTCCGTTGAAATTTATTTGTAATAAAGTTTATGACTTTCTAGGCTTTTTTTTTCATCCTGCTTATTTTCAATGCCTGTGAAGTGTCCAGCAAGAGAACTGCGCCTTCTATCATCACAATTAATTAAAATAATTATTCAATATTCTAATTTATATATTTTGCATATTAATATAAATCAAACCAAATTATGAAATAGATGCCAATTGGTATGTATAATAATTGATTTTTGTAATATGTTGTTATGTTAATTTAATGTCATTGTATATGTTTTTGAACTGCCATGTAGTTCCCCCCATTTTGTTTTGTTACTATGAATTTGACTAGTTGTTTCATGTACATCGGTTAGAGCCTGGTTATCAATTGCGATCTGAGTCGGACTAAACGTCCGCTATTTGTTGCTTGATAGATATCTAAAACGGTATAAAAGTATCCGTGTATCAGAAATGATCAGTACATTTCTGATACACGGATACTTTTAAGCATGTATTGCAATTAAACAGGACAGTTTTATCAAAGGTTGCCATGGCAACGAGTAGAAGTGGGATGTAAATGTACGTACACGTACAAACCCATTTCCTAAACTAAACATTATAAATGGTAGTGTTTCATAAACTATGCTCATCTTTTAATGTGCAATGTTTCAAGTGCAATTTGTGTGTATATACGTGTTTCATTTTTTGTGTGCATGTGTACATATTTCACGGGTACTGTGTGTGTGGTGTACATGTTTAAATTATTTGTGTATACATGTTTAATTTATGTTTATGTACCATGTTTAAAGGAGCTAAGTCGCTAATATTTGGGACCTAGAAATTGACACAAATGGGTCGCAACGCATACAATAATGTAATATGAATGTATATAAATTGATTTACATTCAATCGTTTCTGTTTTACTGTAATTTCTAATCAGTTAGGTTCGGCGAAATACGCCAGTATTCTCAATCGAATTTCAATCTCTAGCGTCTGGTTTTTCCAGTCTACGCCGATATATAGTATTTATTGGGTATGCTCTCCAGATAAGAATATAGCGTCATCGTTTCACATGACTTGTGGAATATGCCTAGACTCGTTTTTCGAGTCCCTTATTACAAGTAGCACTGAAACGCATTATGGTAAACGATTCGTGTACCAAAATTGTAAAATGTTTATTTTGTCTTAAATATTGGATATCAGAAGGCCATCTTTTCCCGGTAAGATCACAACATCAATATTGATTTAAAGCCACAAATAAATCGTGTTTTCAATGTCGAAGATTTTGGATGATATTGAGTTAGAGACTTAGCTACTTTAAATTTGTGTTTATATGTTTCAATCTGAATATGTTTAATGCTCATCTGTTTATAAAGATCAATGTTATCGTGTATGTAGTTAAATGCTTTTATATTAGCTGACATTGAAGGTGTTATTAAACTGAATGAGTAATGTATACAAACCTATCTGAATATTTTAATAGACCTGCTGTGTAATTTGTAATTAATGTATAGCGTGCTACGCGAAGATGTAAATGGTCATTGTACGTAATTTATATAAATGGACACAATAATATATATGTAGTTTATATTATGTCTTTGTGTGCAATGTACACAGGAAGGTGTAAATGGTCGCGGTGTGTTATTTAAATGGGCCTACGAAAAGATATAACGGGCCTAGTGCGTAATTTATATAAATGGGGATAGTGTTTATTTTATATAGACCCACGGGAAGAAGTAAATGGGCACAATTTTTTATTTATATGGGCCTGCTGAAGGAAGTACTAAATATGCACAATGTGTTATTTATATGGGCCTGTGGGAAGAAGTAAATGGACACAATGTGTTATTTATATAGACCTACGGGAAGAAGTAAATGGACAAACTGTGTTTTTATATAGAACTCCGGACACAATGTGTTATTTATATGGGCCTGCGTGAAGATGTAAATGGGCACAATGTGTTATTTATATGGACCTGTGGGAAGAAGTAACTGGGCACAATGTGTTATTTATATGGGCCTGCGGGAAGAAGTAAATGGACACAATGTGTTATTTATATGGCCCTCCGGGAAGATGTAAATGATCATAGCTAGAGTGAACTTCATTGGGAACGATGTTTTAATTTGAAAATAAATATCATATTTTATCATATAAACGTCTGTTCCTGAAATAAAGCGCAATCGCAATTTTATCTATTCATTGTGACTCACGCGTGCACCATGTGCCACCATATATCAGCTTGTAAACTATAAATAATATTTATAATAATTTCAGATAAGTATTTTTAAAGAGACATCAGTTTTTGGGTGTTTTTTTTACAAATCAAATTTTATTTTTGTGCAAACCAAACCACAAAATACTGTATGAGCAATGGGGTGGTTTGTAAGAAAGCGATTTTTATACGTCCACATTTATACATTAACATCAGCTTGCCTCTCCATTTAGTAGGGGGGTTGGATGGCCGAATCGTTAGCGTGTGCGCGCTGTATCATAAGGTCTGTCATTGAGTCAGCTGGCATGGTTTCGATTCCCCGGTTGTTACGTGACAAGGAGTAGGGTCGCCTGTCCAACCTCGTGGGTTTTCTCCGGATCCTCCGGTTTCTTCCCACTCCTAAAGACCCCTACGCTCAAGCGAATTATTGAAATAAAATTGAACCATATGTTAGTCCCGAAATGACCTAGTTTGTGTCGAGTGAACGTTAAACCCCATTTCTCTCTCTCTCTCTCCATTTACTAAAGATGCCACAACATGTTTACCATCCAACCCATGTATTGCGAACACTTGCTGTAGACTATTGGATACTGACATTGTACAAGTCACACAAACCAGTCATTTATAACACCAGTTTATATACAACAGATATACACATTGTAATTAGGATTTTTATTACAAAATTCAAAAACATGTAAAAACTATAATCTTGTATAAATTTGACCAAAAAAATAATATATAACACCCGTATATAACTATGTATTTTTGTATTTTTATTCTTGCGTATATAGATTACTGTATAAAAATTAAAATATAACGTATTGTAAATATATTATTCCAAAATGATAAATAAATACCCCTCCCCCATCCCTTAATAAAGAAAATTCCTCCTCTTCGTATCCCTCTCTATTTCAATAATTTAAAACTAATTCTTTGTCCATTCATCCAAAATCAATCGTGACTGATACTTACAGTAATAATTCATACCGAACAGACAAGATATAGTTTAAATGACATCCAACAAATATAACGGTTAAATTCACACCTAACACAACAAATTCTTATTCATATATATATATATATATATATATATATATATATATATATACATAGTACATTCACACTAAAAACAACCATAACCCATTCATATCTACAAACATACAGTTGAATTCACAATTGAATTGAAACAACTCTCGCACAAACATACAGCAGAATTCATGCTTGATGCAACTCTCTCACAAACATCCTCACAATTCAGTTGAATTCACAGTTGACGCAACTCTCACAAACATATTATTCCCAAATAGTAGATAAACCAAATACAACATCAATAAAATATGATTTGGCGTTGATTCTGTGTCTGTTAAGATACAAGTTTCTGTTCATCGCCCATTCTGGTACATCAACAACTTCATCTTCAGAAAGATCATCAGCCCAATTAACAATTTTTTTTGCCAAGTTTTCTTTAGCATCGCTATCTAAACCTGTTACTCCAGCAGATCCTCCTTGGCTGGTTTTAATGGTGACATTAAATTTAAAATCAGGAATCAAAGCCCAGCTAGGAATGTCCACGACTCCTTCATACACAGGTTCTTCAGCCCAGTTGATGACAAATTTATGGTAGATTGGGTCAGATTCTTCAACATTTTCTTGGGCGAAAGAATAGATATGGTGGTCGTAATCTAATCCAGGTATCAATGCCCAGTCAGGGACATCTACGGGTCCATCATGCACAGGTTCGTCAGCCCAGTTGATAACATACTGATGGTGAATTTGGCTGAAGTCATCGATATTTTCTGTGGTAGCCCATTGTCTTCTAGAACAATCATCTTTATCATGTCGATTAATATCAAATGCAGGTATCAAAGCCCAGTCAGGGACATCTACGGGTCCATCATGCACAGGTTCTTCGGCCCAGTTGATAACATACTGATGGTGAATTTGATTGAAGTCATCAATATTGTCTGTGGTAGAGTAATCATCTTTAGCATGTCGATCAAAATCTAATCCAGGTATCAATGCCCAATAAGGAATATTTGTTGGTTCTTCATATGAGATTTCGTCAGCCCAATTGATCACTGAATAATGTTGGTTTTGGTTTAAGTTCAGCTGAAAAGTGTCGTCTAATTCTTCGTCCAAATTCTTGGTATCTCCATTGGATGATACTGATGATAGAGATGATGATCGTGGAACTCTCATTTCACAAATCTTCTCGTATCTATGGTTAGATTTCTTATAGTAAGATACAACTGAAAAAGTGAAAACATTTTAAGAAATGAAAATAAGAAAGTAAAAGACAAATAAATAATTGACCCTATATAATAACCACATGTTCAAATCCACTACAAGTACGTAAAACAAAGGTCTTCGTGCTTATTTTGGTATTGCACAGCAAAATATTGCTTGGCAGTTGGAATAAAAGAGTAGGCAAAAATGCCGCTAACCTCTTCCCCGTATTCCACACGTAAGTTATAAATACAAAATACCGTATGTGCGTATCAAGCGACAAGTCGACAACAAATAAATAAATAATTCTAACCATTTTATTTGTGTGATTTAATCAACTGCATGTTGATTTTAATCTTACGGTCAACGGACATTGTAAAAGTGTTTTGACTTAATAGCAGTAATAACGGTAGGGTTGATTAGTAACACGTTAGACTTACTAGAAGTATTAACTAGTGTTGACTAGTCAAGGGTTAGACTTACTAAAAGTATTAACTGTAGAGTTGACCAAAAGAGTGTTAGACTTACTAGAAGTATTAACTAGTGTTGTCTAGTAAAGTGTTAGACTTGCTAAAAGTATTAACTAGTGTTGAACAAAACAGTGTTAGACTTACTAGAAGTATTAACTGTAGAGTTGATCAAGTCTTCATCAGTTAATGTAACAAACATGTTATTATCATCATATATCTTTTGACTTAATACATCACCATAGTCTAAACTACTATCACTATAGTCTGGTATTTCTCTGGAATAAATATAATACAAAATAAAAGTAGACGTAAGAGAAAGTAAAATACTCTTTAAATTTCAAACTTCTTTAATTTAAAAAAGCAAAAACCGTATTTAAAACATATAACAGAGAAAATCAGTTTATCTATTATTTGTTTTTATCTGTTCTCAAGTCACTGGACTACATAAATATTGAAAACCTATTTGAGATTTTAATGGGTTTTTTTCTTTCAATTCTTAGAATTCTTTACAATATAATTAAATATACTTACAATACAGTCATAGTTGATGTTATATTTTCCTATCTGGATTCACAAAAACGTAGAAAATGTAATTAATTTCAATAAATTATCACGGAGCGTCTTTCTCTTAGCAGATAAAATAACTCAATGATAGAACAATAAGATGACGTTTTACCTATTGTGACGTCATAATTAAAAGACGTCAAGAGTTTTGTTGAATTTCCCCAAAAAAGAAATCAAGTTCGATTGACCTTTTGAAGCTTTTTCCTGAAACTTATGATTTTTTGTCGAAATTTTCCAAAAAAAATAAAGAAAAAAAACGGGATATTTCCTAACCGATTCATAGATTATTGTTTTTCCAATTTCAAAGATTCATTCTTTTTCTTCAAATGCCGTTCAAAATTTTCAATCGAAAACAAGATAATCCAACCCCCTATCACTAGAATCTTTTTTTATCAGCCTTGTTTTTCACGGGAATCAATTGGAGGAGAATCCAGCTTTATCTTATATTTGTCGTTAGTCGCTGTCTATTTACCATAAATATCGAAGCCTAAGTAAATTACTGGATCACCTTCTGCCAACTTCTCTTTCCGACGTTTAATCCTCTCAACGTTCTTACAACAGTTAGCCATTAGATCAACACATAGGTAGTTCTTCTTACAGCATTCGAGGGATACCCTAACATTTGTGTCTTGTGCGCGCCCCGTGGGTTTTTTTTCCAGGGAATCCAGTATATTTCTAATAAGATTAGGTATCTCTACATTTGATATATTGCCATTATTTTATTCGATATAACTACCCGATAAATACCTTCGTGGGAATCTATCTTTAAGGTAGAGGTTTCAGTTTGATAATGCTCGGATCGGAGCTTCGGAGGCATGGCTAGAAAACGATTTATGTAGCACAACTGTATGTAAAATATCCATGTCTATATCGAAATACCAAAAATAGCGATTTGCAATCACGAACCTCATCCCCATTAGCGTTAAATGAAGATACCAGTATCTATAGGCGCAAATTGTTAAAAAAAAATTGTTATCCCTTATACGCTAAAGAACATCCCTATTGTTTGTGATGCATGCCCAACCCCCAGGGGCAGAGCCACGCCCATTTTGGAACTTGGCATATTCCTTATAGCCTAAGGACAGCACTTATTTGATTTTGGTGCATGCCCTGGACCTCTGTGACGGTGTCCTACTAACTTTTTTGTTAATATTTTAGTCTCTGAATTTGGCAAACCAAACCCAAGCCTAGCCTTGTTTGCCTCTTGTCATATTGTAGTCATTGCAGCTAGTTCATATTTCATTCACTTCATTGTGAAAAGTACCATATCAATGAAAGCGGGAATGTGGACGTATTTTACAGCGTTAACGATGCTCTCGTTAGAATTATTGTCAATTTTTATGAACCCAGACGATTAAATATCTATGGCGTGGGCGCAAAAAATTCAAAAGAAAAAAAAATAAGTAGTAATTAAAAAAATAGCGTCCCCACCCACAGAAAATATCCCAGTGTTCGAACCTCCTGCACAAGGATGCTAACGGTCCGCAGTTTAGGGGGTGGAATAGTTGCCTTGTCCAAGCTGCCGGCATCCCTCACTACGCAACCAAGTATTTAAGCATCCAATATCTAATTGACCTAGAAGCACAGTGCACAAAGTGTATTGTATATCAACCTGAATGCTGTATGCAAATAGGTCATTGTAATAAATGTTCTTACCTGAACATACAACCTCTTTGTCCTTGTTTTGTCAACGTCATTGGAATGTTTTCATACTTTCTTTCAAAGGCCCGTTCTGATGTTTGAGTATCAAAGACATATAAAACGATCTGAAATCTTGTGCGGCAGTCGCTGTTTTCATCAGTGACTGTGATAATTAGAAATCGATCGCGGCGTTTAACCGTCGAGAAACTAAAAATGAAACAATTAATTGTCATTTCAGATAAATTGTCGAGTGTCTGACCAAATCCTCGTTTAAATAACTACTATAGTTTGTCTTTTACCCTTCCAACCACTCATCTATATTAGGTCACTGAATAATGAACTTCTACGATGCGAGTGATTCGAACATTAAATGTCAATTGGTCGATGTCTGGCTGATATAAATATGATCTGTGGTTGTGTTTGCATGGTTATGAGCCGTGGTTTTTTAACCTCTTTTTAACCGTTTTCTCTGGTATTCAAACTTATTTTAAAAACCGTTCCTCCTGATTTCCAACTTTTCTTGAAACCGTTACCCCTGATTTTCAACCCTTATTAAACCGTTCCCCCTGGTATTCAACTTTTTAAAAACCGTACCCCCTGGTTTTCAACCCTTTTTAAACCGTTCCCCCTGATTTCCAACTTTTCTTAAAACCGTCTCTCCTGGTTTCAACCCTTTTTAAACCGTTCCCCCTGGTTTCAACCTCTTAAAAACCGTTCCCCCTGCTTTTCGACCTTGCTTTAACTGTTCCTCGGGGTTTCCAACTTTATTAAAACGTTTCGCCTGGTTTTCAACCCCCTTAAAACCGTTTTCCCTGGTTTTCAACCTTTGTGTTAACCGTTCCTCTTGGTTTTCAACCCTTTTTAAACCGTTTCCCTGGTTTTCAAACTTAACCGTTCCCTTTGGTAATCAACCTTTTTTTTTTTAAAACCGTTCCCCTTAGTTTCAAACGTTTTTAAAAACTGTTTCCCCTGGTTTTCAACCCGTTCCCCCTGGTTTTCAATCTTTTTAAGCCTGGACAGTTTGAATTTGAAATAAATGAAATGGTGGGTAACGTCCTACTGTTCTGCTCCGAACCAGGGGCGTGCTGGCAGGGAGTTTAGGAGGACGGTGTCCTCCCAGGCCCCCATTAAACAATAGGTCCACCCGTATAAGCGGGCCCCCCTGAGAGCTCTAATTTTCACGCGGAATCCCCTCAAAAAATTGAGAGTGCGCACGCGAAAAATCATACATACACAACGATTAGTAAAATATATTATGCTGACGTGCAAATGTCTATCACCTTAAGGTGAAATGGTCTTTGATACATGTATTCATGCCTCGATATGTATAAGATACAATTTATTATTTGGATAGAAATACATTGTGTTAGCATTATATTAAGCAGACCTGTCATGAGTGTCTTGTGTAGTACAGTAGTATGTCTTATAGTCAAAATAGCAGCATAAATTTGGAAAATATGATACCTAGATTTCTCCCAGAAGTGCTTGCAAAACGCGTTTCCCGTTGTCAAATTTCAAAAATTTTCTGGGGGGGAGAACGCCCCCAGACCCCCCTACCAGCGGCGCCAGCACGTCCCTGCTCCGAACTGGGCTAATGAAGACGGGAGTTTGAAATAGCCTGCTATGCACCGACGGGGCTAATGAAGCGGACGTACGATATGTAGTGTGCCATGAGAAAAACTTTTGCCCGGACAGCGACGCTGCAGCCTACCCGAATTTGAAATAAGAGTAGGCTGTACCATCGCTGTCCAGGCAAATTTTTTCTCATGGCACATTACATATCGTATAGGGTACTTTCAGGGCCGGCGGAAGCAATTCTTGATTGGGGGGGGCTTCCATCCTACGTCCTTATAGGCGTGGGTCCAGGGGCCGCAATAACCTGGAGAAAAGAGTACTTACGGCCAAATATTGGGGGGCTAAAGCCCCCCACGCCCCCTACCCCCCCCCCCCCCCCACTCCGCCGGGCCTGACTTTAGAAGTCCCGTAATAATAAACGAACATTTCCAATTATCATACTGACCAAACACATTTCATTAAATTAAATAAAACTGAATACAGATACCAGAACAACGCTTATACAAGAAATGTTTATTCGTGCTACCCACTGGAGATGATATGGGGTTTAAATTTTTACTTTTTATTCTACAACAAACGGGCTAATGAGGGTGGACCTGACACCGATGTTACAATCTACTCTTAATCTTATTTCTATTTTCAACTGTCTATGGATCTTTAACGTACCGCCAATATTATACGCAAGACATGGGTTTTTCGTCCCATCCAAACGACTATTATAGACTCTTATCTTCGCCAGTCGACCTCCATCCTGCACCACTGACAAGGGAAAACAGGCTTGAAATTCACGAGGAGCTTCCTAGGCCAACACCGGTATCGAACCCGGAATGGCCTACTTTGCGTTCAGTGGACTTTAAACACCGTTCACCCAATCACCCTTTATCCATCCTCGAAATCTGGCACAACACTAGAGCAAAAGAGCTGACGATCGAGAGCGTGATTAAAGAAATGGGGCGTGGTAATCGAGTGACCGGGAAGGTAACTCTATTGAGCGCAAGCTGGGTTTTTCCCTTTATGACAAGACCAACCGATGAAATAAAATTCTTGTTATCAGCTAATGTATTTCATAATTAATGATCGAATGCACAACCCTCAGTTTAAAATGGTTTTAAATTCCATATTTAAATTTAGAAAAAAAAGAAATATAATTGAAAAAATGGCTATAGCTGAAGATGTGTTACATTTTTGTTTATCAGTTGTCGTTGCAAAATCTGGCGGGAGATTACCAAAATGGCAGCGAAATTGAGAAATGTTATCACATCTGCATTTAAAATGCACGGTTTAACTCTTCGGAGGTAATTCTAGTAGTTTTCTAATTATATTTCTCATACCATAGCAACACCCGTTTAATAAAATCAAATGACTGGTAAATACAGAGTTGGCTACACAGTTAATTATTCGACTTTTTGTAGGTTTTAGAAAAGAAATAACGATGTTTCAGTTTGTTTGGAGACACGCGACGATATAAACAAAACATTCAACATTGTGTTTTTGTGGGCGATCACGTTAGGGCTAACTCAATATCATCCAAATTCTTCAACATTGAAAACACGATTTATTTGTCAAATTAAATCAACATTCATGTTGTGATCTTACCGGAAAAAGATGGGCTTTTTTGATGTCCAATATTTAAGACAAAATAAACATTTTACCATTGGTACACGAATCGTGTACCATAATGCGCTTCAGCCCCAGTTGTATCAAGAGACTCGAGGGACGAGGCTAGACTCATTGCACCAAATCAAACGGCGTATGTAGACTGGAATAACCAGACGCTAAAAATTTGTACTCGTTTGAGACATAACTGATTTGAAATTGGAGTAAAAATGGAAACTATTGAATGTAAATCAGTTTATATACATTCATATTACAGTATTATATGCGTTGCAACCCACTTTTGTCAATTTCTAGGTCCCAAATGTTAGCGATTTAGCTCCTTTAAAACCTATAAATTCAGGGTTGTTAGGGCCATTAGGGGTGGTGCCACAACAATGAAATATTGAGACATAAAAATGGGAGTCATGAATGGCTTTTTGTGCTACCATGTCATCTTTACCAGCAGCCACCATGCCCCGAAATTGAATTAGGCAATAGGTGCAAATTGATTGATTATTTCAATTGAATATTTATGGGTGCTGTTATAATTTTACTCTGTAAATCAAACAATATATAAACAGAGAATCCCTTGACTTGTTTTCAGGCGTAACGACAACGTCCGCTTCCACATAGTAGTCAATCCGAATATCGGTCTGTGAATAAGCCTAATCTAATATTACTGCTGCAGTAGATAATCAAATATTCCACAAAGTAGACTACTCCATAATATAAACATAGTAATCAGAGCGAAAAGACCACATATCAGGGTTTTAAAATTGGTTTAAATCGAGGGCATATCTTCTTGAACTAATATAATAAGACCATTATTGTAATTTACATATATTTCAGTGAAGCCAGTAGATATTTAGTAGAAGTATTAACACCATTAGATGAGGGAGAAAGAGATGGCTGGTTGGATCACATGATAGAAATAATACAGAAACAGCCATGTAAATAATCTGATTTTACTTTTTGCTTATGTCCTGTAATATTTTAGTTAAATTTAACACATCACAAGCGATCTGATTAAAACACAGATCCTAAAACAGTCTCTTGTGGCGAGTTCTTGTTGTGTGGTGCACGGAATTGTGGCAAGACATTCGCCGTGAAGACAAAGCAACAGTTGTATTTTTCAAATACCCACTTGAAACATCAACACTGATTGGTTAATTAAATGTCTTACATCATATGCTGTAGACATATGTTTCACGGTTGGCAACCTATCTTTAAAACGTGGTTCTGTTTTATTTGTACTGAAATTCTTATTTCTTTGTTTAAATATCTAACTTGGATGTGTTTTATAGTGTTGAAAATCGGATCGAGATTTGTGATCCAAATACTTTTGTTTGCTATCCGAATACTATTCGGATAATTCGGAAACGTGAAATTCTTGAACTAAATCAAAGCAAAAGTTCATATACTCATAATTTCTTACTTATTTCAATGTTTATGAGTGTCTGTGTATGCCGAGTATGAAATCTTACTTTCGATTTGCAAATTGTTTGAGCCGCGAAGAAAAAAAACGTGCCTACCTTTAGCCGCAATTATTAAGACTATCCATGATATCCCCAAAAATTAATGAATTGAATAAATTTGTGTATAACCACTCCTGTAATCCGCGGCCCTCCCACTTATCACTTTTTCTCAATCAACACGAATGAAAAAAGTAAAATAAAAACATCTGACATTTATTCCGCCAAGGTCGTTTGCCTCATTCTGATAATCTACTGCTATTGAACCAATCAGTAAGTGAGAATATACGTGACCTAAGTCGTTATGAATAAATTTCATTGCGGGAAATCTAAACACAGTGTTAACTTGTATCCCGTAAACCCAAGAAGTAGCTTCTATCTAGCGTAAACCAGCACAAGGAATGAATGAATATTTTTTTATTTAGACTTCTGTTTTCGTTGCACTGCATTAATATTTTTATTAGTTACTATCGCTAAATAATACGTGTGATATTAACATTTATGCACAAAGCTGCCAAATGTGATCAATAGCATTGGGGGAAATTTCAAAGTAATCAGATGTTAAAATGGCTGAATATAGAGTGTACGGAATGTCAGAAGACTGTAATGAATAGTAAAATGATTCGGATAACCCTTATTTTGTATCCGTTAACGAATATCCGAATAGTAGTTTCAACACTAGTGTTTTAATGTATATTGTATCTGCACCTTCAAGCAACTCGTGTAGTTGAAATTTGGGCACATTATCACATGAATTAAATTATTATTATTATTCTATAGAAAATATAAACAGATTTAGAGTACATATCAAATATTCATACATAATAATAATATTATTGGGCTAATGAAGACGGGCATACCCCATACTTTGTGCTTTGAGGAAAATTTTGCCCGGGCAGCGGCATTATGACCTACGCTTATATCGAATTCCAACTGCCAAGGGATCTTTTATATGCATGCCAATGTATACGTGGGACCTTGGTTTTTTGTTCCATTCGAACGACTAGACGGCTGACCTTGTCACCTCAATCCTGCACCACTGACAAGGGGAAACCTGATGAAGTTTCTTGGCCAATGCAGGGATCGAACACTCGACCTCCAGGCTAGCAAGCCAGCATCTTACCCACTTAGCCACCGTGGCCCCATACTATGGCAGCACTGTGGTTGTACAGTATGACTGTGTATTTGATATACATGTATCGGTACATATGATTATACATTCAAGGGAAGGAACTCTTTTGACCATGTTAGTTTATTGTTGTCTGAACTCTAAATTTTCTCCTTTAAAAACTGCTTCATCCCCACCAAATCCTACAGTTGTACTAATAAAGGAAATAAAATTCGACACAACCAGTGGTTTGAAAACTTATATTGATATGGATAATTGACTGGTATTATTACATTACATCATCCAATTATCTTTCTAACAATAACAACTATGTCATTTTGTTGATTTGGTTTAAAAAATATACCATTGGGAGCCCCCAAAATGAGGATCAAAGTTTCTTCAAAGGAGATGGAGATATTCAAATTCTCCCTTATTTTACACTCTCAGATTCTGTTTATTTTAAATGTTTTCAGAGTTACCTTCTATCATGATCAAAGTATCTCTATAACAGTCATTGTTTTTTAAGGCAAGTGATCGATCGAGGGGAGGTTTTTTCCCCTCTCCGTAAAACTGAAAATCGCTCTTCTTTACAATAACATGCAGTTATTGATCTTCAGAACCATTTCCCATACACACAACTAATCAATCTCTTTAATATCAGATCATTCTCCTAAATTTCTAAATCACTCTTCTTATCGAAATTGGGAGAGCTTTTTTAGGGGAGCGATTTTTTCAATTTGTTGATTAAGCTAGGGGAGCTTTTTTCGGCTCTCCTATAAAATACAAACAACGACTGCTATAAAGTAATTTATACTCTCAGATTTTGTTTTAATAGACATTTTGAATATCAACTTCAAAGTATCCCTATAAAGTAATTTATACACTCAGATTCTGTTTGCTTTCAGTGTCATCTTCTATGATAGATAAAATTGTTTGTGAAGCTGCTGTACAAGAATGTAATGCTGAACAAGATGAAGAAGGGTAGATTTATACTTAATACATAATACAATTTAAATTTAGTGCTGGGAGTCTGATGGCTCAGTGAGTAGGGTGCTGGCTCATTGATTAAGAGGTTTGATCCTGGTGTTAGCCAAGATAGTTTTGGTATTTGCGAAACTTTACCCATTAAAAGTGATGGAATTTGATCAGTGTTACGTCTCTATAGGAAATATTTAATGAGATGAGACAATGAATCCTATTGAATTTTAGCCTTGATCTTGTGGAAGTTATCATCGATTGCTTTGAACTTTATACATGTTTTGGGAGGTTGGATGGCTGAATGGTTAGCATGTGCGCGCTGTATCATAAAGTCTTGTCATTGAGTCAACAGGCGTGGTTTCGATTCCGCGGTTGTACTTACAAAGAGTAGGGTCGCCTGTCAAGCCTCCTGGGTTTTCTTCGGGCATTCTGGTTTCCTCCCACTGCTAAAGACCCCTACGCGCAAGCGAATTATGGAAATAAAATTGAACCATATGTTAGTCCCGAATTGACCTAGTTTGTGTCAAATAGACGTTAAACCCAATTCTCTCTCTCTTATGTTTGCATTAGGAAGAACTAGTAGAAGCCTATTATATTACTGCATGGGTTGTTACCCTTGATCAGTTTTTATTGTCTTGACAATGCTCCCATTACATACAAAAAATTGCTTTGAAGTTTATATGTGTTTGTTCTACGAGTTTTGATGACTTGAACAGCAGAAGTTAGCTGATTAATGGAACATGATTTGTTTATGTGTGCATTAGGAAGAACTAGTAGAAGCCTATTAAATTACTTCATGGGTTGTTGCCCTTGATCAGTTTTTAATGGGGATGCTCAATTCACAGTCCAGAATGTCCCGAATTGACAGAATTGCAATCGAGTGAAGCGAAATTTAGTCCTGTCACAGTTCTGTCACTCCCGACTACAGAGGTTGTGTGAGTAGAATCATGATGTAATTAAACACAACGAATATGTTTCGGCTGCATAGTTGCTTGAGATATTTACTTATCCAGTTGACGCATGCGTTGTAGCCCAAAATACCCCTTTTCACTTGATTGTCACTATTTTTAGGATTGAGAGAATTCAATTCCGGAACGTTCAATCGAGTACCCCCAATGTCTTGACAATGCTTCCAGTACATACAAAAATGCAACAACCTTTATTGACGGCTAAGACGACTTAGCTGTTGCTGCTGGTGTTTGTTAAGTTGACTGACATCCTATCTTTCTTTCAGTGAAAATGTGTTTTGTATAATTGATGCGTTTTCCGTACCACGGTTCACATACCATCCAGATAGAAAAAAATTTATTCCGTAAGTATTTAGTTAAATATTAGTTTTATTTATGATTATGTTATTAACATCTGTTTAAGCAATTTGATCTAGAAGGTAGGAAGATCGGCAGGTCTGACAGGGTAAAGTGTCTAGTCATTCGTATGGTACAAGAGATTGAAATCTTGGTGAAAATCCCCTGACACTAAATTTAGACTGTAATACCTGTGTCAGGACATTACCCTCACTTGGCAAAGTACCCTTTCTTTTATTAAAATGATCAGGCATCATGTGTGGGGCGCGCTGTTGATCTCGTGCTCCATTGCTTATGAAGGTACACCAACATCAAAAGATGATTTAGATCTGTATTTCAGATCTAATTATAAGGCAAGTAATTGTCTTCCTTTAGAAGACTTGTGACAAAAATATTCACTTCATGGGTTCTTTTTTTTGTTGAAGGATTGTAACATATTTAAATGTATTAGACAAAGTTTTTACTAGACTGATCCCTTTCTTTGTATTATATTTGTAGAAATACAAGTTTAGGTATAAAGGGTCCAGTATTACACGGGACAGCAGATGATAAAGCTACGTTATTCCGAGAAAGATACACAATACTTCAACAGGTAATATGCCCTTATATACAAATATATAAGTGGGTCATTTTGGGACTAACACATGGTAATATGCCCTTATATTTATACACACTTGTATTTTAATAGAAAGTGAGTAAGAGAGAGAGATATATATATATATATATAGGGGTTAAATGGCCTCTCGATCGACAATAATTGGGTTATTTCTGGACTAACTCACGGTACAATTTTATTTCATTAATTTGCTTGCATTTAGTGGGAGAAAGCAGGAAGATCCAGAGAAAACCCACATGGTTTGACAGGCGACCCCACTTCTAGACACATACAATCTTAATAACACCATTATAAGTATTTTGTATGCACATCAAACTAATTTCCTAATCAGAAATTTCTTTGATTTAATCATTTTTGTGTTTCTGTGGATAAAAATTTGACTTTGGTATACAAGGGCATGGGATGCTGATGACTTGAGTCTTGTTGGAAATTTGCCCATGCTAAGTATAGTCCTGTAAACTATTAGTAAATAGCATTAGCAATTGAGTTTTAAAATCGACACAAATTTGAATTTCAAATCTCGATTTTTGAATATTTTTCAGCGAACATTACGCCATGATTTATTTACTCCACCAGTTTTAGGTTCCGCGCCAGATGAACAAACTAAAAAGTTTCAGGTAATATATTGAAATTAGCTCAAAATACAACATATTTGTCACATATATTTGAAAAATCAGAAAGGTGTATTATCTATAATAACCAATTAGATATTATACTTAAAATTTTAAAGACATAACAAACCAGATCATTTTCTGGATTGTTGTTATCTTATTATAAGTACCATACTAAACTTAGGCTGTCTGTCTACAGTTAGCTCAGTTTGAGAACAGACACTAAGCTAGTTGACCAACATTTTAAGTCCTAAATCGACGATTTCAGTCGAAAACACTAAGTATATTCCGAGAATTTTGTTAAAGTAGTTATTCTGCTTCCATTTAGTAAAATTGAAAAGGTTTATTAACGGAGTAGAACCGCATTACAAAACAGTATACTCATTTTTGGAAATGGCAGCCATTTAGGGCAGAGATCTGTTCTCGAAGTAAGAAGTAGATGGATCTCTGTGTGCAGAATGATTAAAAACATTTAACTACTCTGAGTATAAAAAGCCTACATTTAGAAAGGGGCTGGCTTCAAGTCTGGAAATAAGGCACCTGTCACCGACAATGTCAGACACAGATTCAGGCTTTGTTAGGCACAAAACCTCTGGTGCCTGTCATTTTGTCTGACACTGATTTGTCTTTTTTATTGATATTATTAATACATGTCTGGCACTTAGTTAAAAATGTCAGGTACTATTTCATTAGTACCTGACATTTTGTCAGGTACTTCTAAAAGCGTTATTTCCAGGCTAAAAAGATAGCACAATTATTAATAGTTTTAGGTAATTAATATCTTGAAATTGGCTCAACATGCAAGACCGTTGTTCCCAATATGAGGTATTGAAGGCAGAATTGTAGAGAACACACAGTTACACACGCCTAGTATCATACTTAATAATACAGGGTTCCCGCGGTCCTTGAAAATTCTTGAATATCCTTAAATTTAAAATTTCATTTTCAAGGTCTTGAATATCCTTGAATTTCGCGGAAATAGGAAAATATCCTTGAATTTCAGTTGAGATCCTTAATTTTGTTTCAGATGTCTTCAATTCCTTTTAAATATGAGATTATAACGATAGTTGGTAATGTTTTGGTTATTTTTAAGATGAAAAATTGTAACTTTAGGCTAAAAAATGTCCTTGAAAATCCTTGAATTTGACGTATATTTATCCTTGAATGTCCTTGAAAAAATGTTTGACGAAGCACCGGGAACCCTGTAATAGGTTTTGGACCAAATCTTTATTTAATTAAAAGAGAGAGAGAAATGGGGTTTAACGTCCACTTGACACAAACTAGGTCATTTCGGGACTAACATGGTTCTATTTTATTTCAATAATTCACTTGCGGGTAGGGGTCTTTAGAGAAAACCCACGAGGTTGGAAAGGCGGCCCTACTCCTTGTCACATACATCCGGGGAATCTAAACCACGCAAGTTTACTCAATGACAGACGCTCTAACCAATCGGCCATCCAACCCTCCTTAATTTTTTTTAATAAATATACTTTTCTTTTGATTGTATATGGACTTAAACTCTTTTATTGACTTCTCTGGGTTTTAATATCAACACACTAGTGTATGTTTAGAGTATGATCAATGAAAGTGTCCGAGATGGCCTGTCGTTGTTTACCATTTTTCAGCTAGAAAGTTTGACTGGGGCAATACAAGATTTAACGACTAAAAAAACACTTTATGATTGACCAGCCTTACTGACAAGCTTGGAAATAATGATTTTGCTTGCACCTTACAACAGATCAGTCACTAAGGAATTACCAGTAGATAAAGACAACTTATATAAGTAACTTATATGCCATATAATTGTGTTATTAACTTTGTGTGCTACGTGAATGAAAATATTAATTAAACAAGCAATAAAGACAAATCTATGCAGGACATAATGATGGGCACCCGATGGATTGGGCCTGATATAGATTGAATTTGTACCTGACAATGTCTATGACAGGTGTCTTATTTCCAGACTTGCTTGCAGATCTGAAAGGCCAATGACTTTGAGAATCAAAAACCATAAGTTTAACACTAAAAGTAAATGGGGTGAATGTGGGGCTGACAAACTGAATCGAGAATTGTTTGAACAATTGTAGAAATCGACTCTTGGTCTGATTTAAGATTGATACGACCCCAAACATCCAAATTTGCAATTGAAAATAACATCCTGTAGGTTAGTCATTAGCTGACATAGAATTTTAAGTGTAAAAGAGATTCCCATCTATGAAGACAGAGACATGGAGTAAATCTTATAGAATGTGGTACCACACAGGGAGGTCTGAGAAGAATTTTTGAAAATCTTTTTTTTTTTTTCTATGTCCAATAACTTGTGGAACTCCTGTGGTGAAAAACACAACAGACCCAAAACACTCTATCAAAAGTATCTAATTCGCAAGCGCTGAAATAAGCGTCCGGACACGGACAATGTCCGGGCGAATTGACCCCTTTTGACAGGCCAAATTGCCTTTCGTCCGGACATAATTGTCCGACCGTGTTTTTGTAAAACATTAAGTCAAAAATATTCGAGTCGATCGCTATTTATTATTAGACTCGAAAGTCCAGGACCAAAAATATCAATGACCCGAGTCATAGTGAAAATGTTACTATTTATATCTCGGCCGCGTGCAGATAAAATCTTCAATAAGTTTTAGAATCGACTCTTTTACGCTGGTTATATCAACGACCCGAGTCATAGTAAAAATATTACTATTTACACATGTATCTCTCTCGGCCGCGTGAAGATAAAATAATGAATGATATTGAGAATCGGTTCTTTTACACTGGTTATTCGAGTCTCGTAGCTAGCTTTGCGTTACTTTCGTATATATGATTAGCTCTAAATCACACCTAACATGACATGTAATTATATAAATTATTAGTAATAAAAGTAATAATATTTTAAAATTAGTTTACAAGAAAATGTTCAAGTTGACTATGGATGTACATGTAATTAGAGACAGACTTTTTATACGAAAATATCTCACTTTGTTGGACACTTCCGATGTGAATGTAAATAGAAGAGCCGTGAAAACATGTCGAATAAAATAACTTCTTACTTTTCCCAACCCTCGAACACGGATATCCCGGCTAGTGGGACCGTTCCAGAAAATTCAAAGACTGGTACTGTGTCTTATGTCTCTCATTAAGACACTTCTAAACGGGGGCCGTCGCCGTTACCAGTTCGAAAATTACAAACACGAACCGTAGACTAGAAAAGTGGATCAAAAATGACTTGGCAGATTCTGAACCATTTACGACAACTCAAGATGTCTATTCTTTAGTTAAATTTGAATCTTAATCCCCAGCCCCACCAAAGAGATTAATGACATTATTATATGAACTATAAAGTTGTATTCCATATACATATAAAAACTTTAAACTCCAGGTTGTATGTGAGTCATCAATTTATTTTATTAATAAATGTATGTATAATAATATATATAAACATAGTAAATTTCAACAGTTTTTTGGTTTAATATACTTTATAAAGTATTTGTCAGGCTGAAAATCTGAAATGTCCGGCCGAAAATCAGTTCAGCCTGACATGATGTCAGGCTGAAACTTGGCAGTTATTTCAAGGCTTGCTAATTCGAAAATCTTGTTGAATGTACAGTAGAACTTGCTCGGGCGTGCACTCCTAATCAGCGAACACTTGCTTCAACCAGCACCAAAATATCCCCCCGAGCGATTTTTAAGTAATTTAACCCCTACTAAACACGCACCTGTTCAACGCATGCAACGGGCATCACGATTAATTCCCCCCGTAAAAATTCTACTGTTTCAACGGTCACTCCTCTAACGCGGCCAGCGGTCACTATTTTACTAATAAATTCAACAAAACATCACCCATTTAACGGCCATTGTTGAATGATACCATCTCTCTTTGTAACACTTCCGCTAATCCCGTGAGTAGTAGTTAATTAAAAAGAAATGTAAAAATAACAATCAACCCGGGATTATCTGTTTATTAATCTTTTGTTTTATTAAACGACTAACCTGATCATTGTTTTCACGCGTAACGACACATTTTTTGATACTGATTGAATAAAATGAAAGTACCGAGTTTTGTCACGATCATCTAGTATCTCTTTTCCATTGCCACTTTGTTGTTAAACATACGTTGACGTATATTTATCCTTGAATGTCCTTGAAAAAATGTTTGACGAAGCCGCGGGAACCCTGTAATAGGTTTTGGACCAAATCTTTATTTAATTAAAAGAGAGAGAGAAATGGGGTTTAACATCCACTTGACACAAACCAGGTCATTTCGGGACTAACATGGTTCTATTTTATTTCAATAATTCACTTGCGGGTAGGGGTCTTTAGAGAAAACCCACGAGGTTGGACAGGCGGCCCTACTCCTTGTCACATACATCCGGGGAATCTAAACCACGCAAGTTTACTCAATGACAGACGCTCTAACCAATTGGCCATCCAACCCCCTTAATTTTTTTTAATAAATATACTTTTCTTTTGATTGTATATGGACTTAAACTCTTTTATTGACTTCTCTGGGTTTTAATATCAACACACTAGTGTATGTTTGGAGTATGATCAATGAAAGTGTCCAAGATGGCCTGTCGTTGTTTACCATTTTTCAGCTAGAAAGTTTGACTGGGGCAATACAAGATTTAACGACTAAAAAAACACTTTATGATTGACCAGCCTTGCTGACAAGCTTGGAAATGATGATTTTGCTTGCACCTTAAAACAGATCAGTCACTAAGGAATTACCAGTAGATAAAGACAACTTATATAAGTAACTTATATGCCATATAATTGTGTTATTAACTTTGTGTGCTACGTGAATAAAAATATTAATTAAACCTGCAATAAAGACAAATCTATGCAGGACATAATGATGGGCACCCGATGGATTGGGCCTGATACAGATTGAATTTGTACCTGACAATGTCTATGACAGGTGTCTTATTTCCAGACTTGCTTGCAGATCTGAAAGGCCAATGACTTTGAGAATCAAAAACCATAAGTTTAACACTAAAAGTAAATGGGGTGAATGTGAATGTGTTGAATGATACCATCTCTCTTTGTAACACTTCCGCTAATCCCGTGAGTAGTAGTTAATTAAAAAGAAATGTAAAAATAACAATCAACCCAGGATTATCTGTTTATTAATCTTTTGTTTTATTAAACGACTAACCTGATCATTGTTTTCACGCGTAACGACACATTTTTTGATACTGATTGAATAAAATGAAAGTACCGAGTTTTGTCACGATCATCTAGTATCTCTTTTCCATTGCCACTTTGTTGTTAAACATACGTTTTAGTCCCCCCTAAAATATTACATACAGAGTTACACCCCCTGTAAATCGGCGATGGTTTTTTGTTCATGTGCTTTTTGAAAGAATAAAATTAATTCATCGATTTTCTTCACAAAAATGGATAATTATTATCGAATGCATCACAATGGTAGACTAGTATCGAAGGTTGGTACAAAATGACAAGTTTACAGAAGTTATGTTCAAGATTTGAGTAAACAATTTTCGTTCGGCGCAAGATTCAGCGACGGTCAAATTTATCGATGCAAGTATTGATGTTCGCTCCCAATGCACCCAAGTGTAATTAATTTATGTCAGCACAAAAAGCACCGAGATTTTATTAAGTGGTCGCGTAATTGCTAAAATAGTTGGGGTGGGAAATACTCAAATTCACGGCATTTTGAAACGCTTTTAGACGCTATGATTTAGTATGATGAAAGTAAAAGAAATATTGGGGGGCCAGAGATCCAGTATTACTAAACAAACATGTATACGCGACTATCTTGAATTCACAACTAGATGTATTGTTATTGTTATACTACATGAATAAAAAAATATATGCAATCTATATCTTTATTTTTTGTGGTAGGGGTTGGGGCAATACTGGATACCTCTAGTCAAAGAGCACCTCCATTAAGCAAGCATTTTTAAATTTCCCTTGGGTGCTTGCTTAATACAAGTTCTACTGTATTTATTTTCAGAAGTCCAATATCTTATGAACTCTTGTGGTGAAAAAGTTCCACACAAATTACCCCAAACCTTGCCATAAATGTGAAGACAGGCCTTGTCTATCCCACCACCCTCAGGATTAGAGGAAGGTCAAACACGATTGTTTTAACACGATTGAGCAAAGCCAAGGATGTTTTAAAGGGCATATGGCTTTATTCTTTGCAATTTTAAAATAGACAGAAATGGCTCTGAAAGCACAATTAATGTAACATGAATGTATATAAAGTGACTTAAATTAAGTTCTTAAAATAAATATTGTAATTTCTAATTTATTATGTTCGGTGAAATATGTGAATGGTCCAAAATGAACGACAGTCATTTACTTCTGCTTAGTCCATTCTTCACATTTTTTTTTATTATTATTTTGACGTTTGTGAATCATCCATTACTAATTACTTCAGCATTGTTTTTCTGTGTTCATTACAAATGGCGCCCAAAACCACTGACTTGTGTAATAATTATAAAATGGTCATTGTGTCTTAAAGCGGAAATTGCAAATTTTCAAGTTATATTTTTAAAATGTATTAAAATAAAGCCTTAAAATAAATGGTATCCATAAACAGTCCTACCTTGTTAAAGAATAATCACATTAATCCTATAATTCGCTATTGCCAGCTGAGAAATTGGCAAAAATATCATTTTTAACTTCAAATTCCAACGTTGGAAAATGGCTGCCCCATGTTGTCAATAGCAAAACAGCGGAGGTAATTGTGTTATTTCCTGTGTCATAGAATTTTAAGGGTGGGAAATGATGCCCATGATCGTATAATAGTGATTTGATAACCTATTGAGCAAAAGACATACAAATAATTATGTTTTGACTTTCTTAGAAAATTTGAAATTCTCGCTTTAAATATTGGATGTTTGGATGTTATATTTTCACGGCAAGATAACAATATCAATATTGATTGAAATAGACCAGAATATCATTATGATTCGTCTTTTTAATTTCGAATATTATTGAGTTAGAGTTTTAGCTCCTTGAAGACTACAGAGCATGTAAGAAAGCTTGATGATGTTGTAAAAATGATTACACCTTGGTGTTAGGCTTCAGCTTGCCAAGCCTATAGGTAAATTGGGCACTGATCCCATGTATTAAGACAAATGAAAATATCAGAATTAATCAAATTGTATATTTTTGATTCACACTTTCTTTCTTCAGCTTAAACCAATAGAATTTTTACTGGGAAGTACGGCCAAATTAGGAGATATAATCGTACTTGGTATGCTCACACAGATGAAAGAGGTGAGACACTTTATATTGTTGATATACACTTTGAAAACCCCCGTTCCATCAATCATCGCCAAGGCCAACCAAAGAAATCTTTTGATTGGTTAATACTTCAAGCTGTTGTATTGATCTATCAGATGTCGTTGAGTACAGTTTGGTGTTTAGACGGTCGATGCCAACATTCAGTACAGTTTAAATAAATATAAACCCAGTATAGTCCTTGAAGACCTTTCTGGCTATTTCATGCCCATATTCCGTTCGACTGTATATGGAAAGGTTCCATTTACAACTGGAGGTGGTTGAAAAGATCCCTCGGCAGTTGAATTTTAAAGAAGACTAAGTAGAACCACAGTCGAGATAAAATTCTACCCCTCTTACATAGTAAAAATAAATTGCCACTATATTTGTTTCAAAATAGCCAATTGAGGAGACCTTAAGCAATATCAAATGTAAAACATTTTAAATAGAGAGGGGGGGGGGGATGGCCGAATGGTTAGCACGTGCACGCTGTATCATAAGTCAACTGGCGTGGTTTTGATTCCCTGGTTTTGATTCCCTGGTTGTACGTGACAAGGAGTAGGGTCAAGTGTCCAACCTCGTGGGTTTTCTCCAGGTCCTCCGGTTTCCTCTAAATGCTAAAGACCCCTATGCACAATCGAATTATTGAAATAAAATTGAACCATATGTTAGTCCCGAAATGACCTGGTTTGTGTCGTGTGGATGTTAAACCCCATTTCTCTATTTCTCTTTTAAACAAGGGCCTTTAGTTGTTTATAAACTACATTATTGTTCAAATATAATGAGGGTTAACGTCCACTTTTTTTGAACAGGCTGGGTTAATGAATACAGGCATAAGCCATACAGTGTGCTATGAGAGAAATTTAGCCTGGTCAAATTCCAACTGTCAAGTCAAGGGTTTTTGTACGTGCACGCCAACGTGTACACGTGACCCCATTTTTTAGTTCCACTCAAACGACTAAAAGATGTCTCTTGCCAGGCCCTCCATCCTGCGCCACTGACATATCCTACTAAATACTAAGATTAGAAGAAAAATTGTGTAGTTGCCAAGATTTGGTTCAGTTTATGTCAGACACCCGATCGCAGTGCTACAGCCCTTGAACACCTGTTTGGTTAGAAAAATATTTTCTATTTTCTGTCTTTTATACAAAATTTACATATCACTGGTCATTTTGAGACTGACATCTGATTATTTTCTCTATGGTCATGTGTGCAATGCAAGAGAGGAGAATTTTGCCTAGATAGTGGCAAATTCTGCCTACTTATGATCGAATTCCAAATGTCAACTGTACATTTACATACACTTGAGGGTGTACTCCGGTGGATCTTTTTTTTTGTCCCATTCGAACAACTAGGTGATACTTTCGTCGCCAAAACCCTAAGGTTCTTTTAGGCCAATCTCAGGATTTGAACCAGTCATGTTCTGGCTGAAAATCCAGTGCCCTTTCCAATCGACTACCACGTTCAAGTTGATATCTTATACCATGATTTACGCATTAATTAAAGATTGAAATAGTTTGTTTTAAAGATGAATTTATTTGATAATTGGGACAGTAATTAGGAAGATGAATTTATTTGATAATTGGGACAATTGGGACGCGTAGGCGTCGTTAGCAGTGGAAGGACCTGGAGAAAATCCACTCAACACAAACTAGGTCATTTCGGGACTAACATATGGTTTAACATATGGAGAGAGAGAGAGTCCACTCGACACAAACTAGGTCATTTTGGGACTAACATATGGTTTAATTTTATTTAAATAATTCACTTGCGCGTAGGCGTCGTTAGCAGTGGGAGGAAACGGGAGGACCCAGAGAAAATCCACTCGACACAAACTAGGTCATTTCGGGACTAACATATGGTTTAATTTTATTTAAATAATTCGCTTGTGCGTAGGGGTGTTTAGCAGTGGGAGGAAACGGGAGGACCCGGAGAAAATCCACGAGGTTGGACATTTTATAGGGTAATGTATATTTTATAGGGTAATGTGTTGTATATTTTATAGGGTAAATGTGATAATGTATTGTATATTTTATAGGGTAAATGTGATAATGTATTGTATATTTTATAGGGTAAATGTGATAATGTATTGTATATTTTATAGGGTAAATGTGATAATGCATTGTATATTTTATAGGGTAAATGTGATAATGTATTGTATATTTTATAGGGTAAATGTGATAATGTATTAATGTATTTTATATTTATAGGGTAAATGTGATAATGTATTTTATATTTTATAGGGTAAATGTGATAATGTATTGTATAGGGTAATGTATATTTTATAGGGTAATGTGTTGTATATATTATAGGGTAATGTATTGTATATTTTATAGGGTAAATGTGATAATGTATTGTATATTTTATAGGGTAAATGTGATAATGTATTGTATATTTTATAGGGTAAATGTGATAATGTATTTTATATTTATAGGGTAAATGTGATAATGTATTTTATAGGGTAAATGTGATAATGTATTGTATATTTTATAGGGTAAATGTGATAATGTATTGTATATTTATAGGGTAAGTGTGATAATGTATTGTATATTTATAGGGTAAATGTGATAATGTATTGTATATTTTATAGGGTAAATGTGATAATGTATTTTATATTTATAGGGTAAATGTGATAATGTATTGTATATTTATAGGGTAAATGTGATAATGTATTGTATATTTTATAGGGTAAATGTGATAATGTATTGTATATTTATAGGGTAAATGTGATAATGTATTGTATATTTTATAGGGTAAATGTGATAATGTATTTTATATTTATAGGGTAAATGTGATAATGTATTGTATATTTATAGGGTAAATGTGATAATGTATTGTATATTTTATAGGGTAAATGTGATAATGTATTGTATATTTATAGGGTAAATGGTATTTAGAAGATCCGACTGGTTATGTTCAAATAGATTTATCAACAGCTGTATCCTTTCTTTTATTTTTACACTATCGCTGATTTACTGTATGTAATCTGATGTAAATAGTTATACGCTGACAACCTGACCACATGCTCACCTACTACGATGGAAATATTGGACGTACAACATCGTTTGAGTCTACTCTTCATCAGATTGCAACTGTTAAGGGTTATTTTACGTGTATGCCAACAAGTGTATAAGTGGACAGCACTTTTCTTATCACAACTAGATACCTTTTTACTTGCCAGACCACCCCCCACCCCCCCACCTCCATCTCCTGAACCACTGAAGTAAACTGAACCTAAATAATTTTATATCAATGATTAGTGCTGTATAATAATAATAATAAAGAATATTTAAGTATTGGTTATTTTTAACAAAAATAGAACAAACAAATATTATTGTCGACAGTGGCACCCATTGGCAATTTTCCTCGCCGGCAGTTGTCCTGTTCGTGCACGACTGACGACTGACGAATCTTGCTGGAAAATTCTGAGGAACTTTTGTGGCCATGTCCTCCTGGTTGGTCACTGATCTACTGTGGGGAGCCACGGTGGCTGAGTAAGGTGCTGGCTCGCTAGCCTGGAGGTCGTGGGTTCGATCCTGGTGTTGGCCGAGGTTTTTCTGCCGTGTTTTCCCCTTGTCAGTGGTCAAGGACAGAGGGCCTGACAAGGACAGCTGTCTTGTCGTTCAGATGGGACAAAAAAACAAAATCTCATGTACACATTGGTGTGCATGTAAAAGATCCCTTGACAGTTGGATTTCAATATAAAAGTAGGCTGTAGTGTCGCTGTCTGCGCAAATTTCCCTCATAGCAGACTGTATGGCATAAGTTCGTCTTTATTAGCCTAGTCAGAGCAGTAGGACGTTAAAGCCCATTTCATTTCATTTTCATTTCATTTGCTTTGCCATATATGTGGCTTTGCAAAATGGTTGCCATATTTCACAAGCTTTTATTAGTTACTTCCTTAATTAAAATTGATAGAACTTTCATAAAGGTCTCTTCACAGAAAATTCATTTGTACTGGCAGAAGGCTGGTATGAAGACAGTTTATTTCACGTTAATGCGTTTGGTTTTCCACCAACTGAAACTGCAAAATCAAGCAGGTAAGTAATAATAATGATAATATTGTATAATTAGATCGTGCTGGTTTTGCCCGCCAATTCATGCTCAAGGTGCCTCATAGCCATAGTGGCTAAGTGAGTAAGACGCTGGCTCATTATCCTTGAGGTCGTGGATTGGAGCCCAGTGTTGGCTGAGAAAGTTCATCAAGATTTCTCTGCATTGTTTCCACTTGTCAGTGGTGCAGGACGAAGGACCTGACAAGGACAGCTATCTAGTTGTTCAGATGGGACAGTCGGAACAGAACAGTAGGACGTAAAACCCCATTTCATTTCATTTCAAGGTGCCTCAGTAACACACAGGGATTATTACAATGAATGTAGTAATCCTTACCCAGTAGTGTCAGCACCATAGGAAGTCTAATTGCCGCTTGCATTCTTTTCTTCTTTTCCTTTGGACAGGAATCAGCTGTTCATGACAGCAACTTGACAAAGCTCAAAAGAAACCTTAATGCTTTTCTTATCTTCTTGTGGACAGTGTGGTTGTGACCAGAATTGGGCGTTCAATATGTTGTTAAACATACATTATGCAAGAGCTAAATCTGCCTATTGTAGGTCTTTCTTTAGGCCTGAAATGTTTTCTGAATTATTAATTAAACATTGATTAATGATCCAGGCCATAATCAACTCTCGATGGCATGGGATTTCTCTGATATTAAATAGAAAATAGATCTATTTTCAAACTATTATAGTAAGAATGGCTAGCTCTTTATCTAAATCTTACATAATGCATCTTTAATATGATAATTTGTTCTCGATTTCAGAGCTTATTTTGGTAACATAAATTTTTTCGGTGGTCCATCATCTACATCTGTTAAAGCGTCCAATAAATTAAAGAAAGTTGAAGAAGAGAATCAGGATGCCATGTTTGTTGTTTTATCCGATGTCTGGTTAGATAATGTTAAGGTAAAATAAAATGTGAAAAGTTATCTGTTGTGGAGCATCTCCATCTCTCTCTCATAAGGTTTGTCATTGAGTCAACTGGCGTGGTTTCGAATCCCCGGTTGTACGTAACAAGGAGTATGGTCGCCTGTCCAACCTCGTGGGTTTTCTTCGGGTCCCCTGGTTCCCTACCACTGCTAAAGACCCCTACGAGCAAGCGAATTATAGAAATAAAATTGAATCATGTGTTAGTCCCGAAATGACCTAGTTTGTGTCGTTAAACTCACTCTCTCTCTCTCTCTTTCTCTCTCTCTGTCTCTCTCTTTTAGACATAGCTTACCAGTAAGATAGCATTCAACCATGAATGAGTTGTCATCCGTTTTGTGATAGGCACATGATTAATTATTTACTTCTGTGAAATTGTCCCAATGTTATATTCTAAAGATTTGATGAAAATCAGTTAAGATTTCAAGTCAGAATTTTCACCCTTTGCATTGTATATGCATTCTTTAGACATGTTAGTCCTTAAATGATCAAATATTGTCTTGTCAATTCCATTCCATTCACTCTAGTGCCTTATTCACGAATACTTAACTGAAATATTTTAAGTATACACCATTTTCATTCTCTGGGGTTTTAAAAATCTTAGTGCAAATGTTAGCTCTTGGCCAATAAGAATGCTACATTTAATTTTTTGTGAATAAGGCAAGAGATATCCCTTCTCGATCATTATTTTAACAAATACACATGGATGATGGTAAGTTATTTGATTATTCTGGTGTATTTTGATTATATAAAATATTTTATTCTGTCTATACAGGTAATGGAGAAATTAAAGGAATTATTTGCTGGTTATTCTGAGTTTCCCCCGACATGTTTTATTTTATGTGGTAATTTTTCCAGTGCACCTCATGGTACGAGTCATGTTAAAACATTAAAAGGTGAGAATGATATTTGTCTTGGTATGACGTTAAGGCTTAAATGCTATTCCATTTTTGGAGGTTGGGTGGCTGAGATATGAGTTGTCAATAGGAAATAGAATTTAAGCAATTTTTACAGCTAAATGTGCTAAAAACTACAAAACTTACTTGAGTAATGGGATGGGTCACAGACCAGGAGGTTCTGTGTTTGATCTCAGTGTTGTCTGACTTAGAAAGTATACGTAGTTGTTTGATTGGAATGAAAAAAGGACGTTTGCTTGTGTACACCTGGCATGTGCGTAAAAGAATCCTTTACATGTAGAAATCAAGAAGAGGAGAGAGGAAAAGCCCACCTCATGTGAGAGATGCTAAAAACATCACAAGCTTGACTTTTTACTGCCCTTTCAAATTCCTTTTCTTTTCATTTTATGAGAACTCCAGCTGAAGTGTTGTTAGGATATTGAACCCAACAGTAAAATTTAAACTTATACTGAATTTGTATTTCAGAATCTTTTCACAACCTTGGTGAGATGTTGAGTGAATTTCCTACGTTAATAAAAACGTGTAAATTTGTGTTTGTACCTGGCCCACAAGATCCTGGTCTTGCTACCATATTACCACGGTAACAATATAATAACTATTAATATTTCTGCTACATCTTAAATCCAAATTTTTGAAATTTGTTCCTTTGATATTATTTTATATGTCCTTATTTTGTTGTCGTTACCTCCACCAGTTTGTCTTGTCTCACAATAAGTCCTTGTGAACACTCTACAAATCAGTGTGGATATTCTCTGTGATTGTTTATTGTATCATAATTAAGAAAGAACCCTTTAAACATACATGAAATTTTGTGAATGCATCACAGAAGAGAGGTCTATACATAAGTCCAAAAACCTTATTGGGATTAATTATTGGGATATATAAGTATAGTAGAGCCCTATTGAAATTTTAAACTGGACCAGGGCTTTTTTTTTCAGACATATTTTCAAGTCATTTAGATATTACCTGTTAGTCAAGTTTGATGGCATGAAATTAGAATTTCAAAGAATTGAAACATTCCGAAGGAAACAAAATATGCCCAAAATTGATGGGCTAACCTGGAGATCCTGTGTTCGATTCCTGTGTTGGCTGAGACAGTTCATCAGGATTTTCTGGCGTGGTTCCTCCTTGTGAGTTGTGCAGAACCGAAGGCCTGGCAAGGGACAACGAATGTATAGTTGTTTGGACGGGATAAAAGAAACAAGGCCCCATGTAAACATTGGCGTGCACGTAAAAGATCCCTTGGCAGATGGAATTAGATATAAGAGTAGGCTGTAGTGGTGCTGTCTGAGCAAAATTTCCCTCCTAGCACACTGTATGATGTCGACCCATCTTCATTAGCCCAGTCAGAGCAGAACAGTAGGACGTTAAACCCCATTTCATTCTTTTTCTTTTCAATTATCTTATTAATATTATTTGATACATTGTCTGTGAATTTTATTGTTTGTATATCTAACAGACCAGCAATACCAAACTCCATCACAGAAGAACTACGACGTAAAATACCATCAGCTATATTTACAACCAACCCATGTAGAATACAATACTGTACACAAGAAATAGTCATATTCCGTGAAGATATAGTTACCAAGATGTGTAGAAATTGTGTTAAATTTCCTTCAGATGGAGATGTACCAACTCATGTAAGCTTAATTTTCATTTTCTTCTTACTTCTTGGTGTGGGGGGGGGGGGGGATGTGGGGGGGGGATTGGATGATGGTCTAGTGAAATCACACGATATGTCATTGAGTCACGTGGCGTGGTTTTGATTCCCTGCTTGAATGTGACAACCTCGTGTGTTTTCTCCGGGTCTTCCGGTTTCCTCCCACTGCATGTGTAATCAGATTGAACATAGGCCTATTGAACATATTGTGAAAACTTCTTCTATCTTTGTGTAAGGACTGACCTTTAAAAGTTCAAAAGCCTTTTACACATATGGTTTTTGGGTGGCCGAATGGTTAGCACGTGCGTGCTGTATCATATGGCCTGTCGTTGAGTTAACTGGCGTGGTTTCGAATCCCCGGTTGTACGGGACAAGGAGTAGGGTCGCCTGTCCAACCTTGTGGGTTTTCTCCGGGTCCTCCGGTTTCCTTCAACTGCTAAAGACCCCTACGCGCAAGCAAATTATTGAAATAAAATTAAACCATATGTTAGTCCCGAAATGACCTAGTTTGTGTTGAGTGGACATTAAACCCCATTTCTCTCTCTCTCTTTTACATATGATGTCACATCCCACAGCGTCGATCATTGGCTCAATGGCCGTGCATGGTTTACATAAGACGTTACTGTTCCAGGCAGAATGGTGCCTTTAACTCATTTTATATAGTCATTTACACTAAATAGGAAATATTGTTTACCTACATATACTTCAAACACCTTTATTTATTTTTCTAATACTTCAAAAAAATGGTTTAGAATTTAATTTTTACAAGGCAAAAGGTTAATATTTTGAGCCAATTAACCCGCACTGATGTCATCCCTTTCAGTGATATTAGCAGCATAGCGAATATTCACTGCTGACCAGTGTGTGGTTCACTGCCACTCACCTGAATGTCGACCAAGGGGAGTTTTTTTTCCCTCTCCATAAAATTGAAAATCGCTCTACTTTACAAAGTCATGGGGGGGGGGGTATTATCATTTATGAAGTCTGGAATGACCCCCAAACATGCAGTTATTGATCTTCATGCACACAACTAAACACTCTCCTTAATATCAGATGATTCTCCTTAATTTCTAAATCACTCTTCTTATCGAAACTGGGAGAGCTTTTTTAGGGGAGGGATTTTTTCAATTTGTTGATAAAGGGGATTTTTTTTTCGGCTCTCCTCTAAAATACAAACAACAACGACTGAAACAGGAGGCCCCTGGTTTGATCCTGGTGTTCCTCCGTATTCTACTGTCTGGTTTCTGTGTGTCAGTGGTGTAGGGTACTGGCCACGCTGATCAGCAGTGAATATTCGCTAGGCAGCTACAATCACTGATAAGGATGACATCGATGCAACTTAATTAATGAACCACAGATATTAACAGTTTTACTCTGACAAATTAGATTCGAAAACATTTTTTTTATGTAATAGAAAAATAGATAAAGACATGTGACGTTTTTTTAGGTAAAAATTATTTCCTGTTTAGTGTAAATGGGTATTAAAATGAGAAAAAGACAGCATTTTGCCCAAACCAGTAACGTCATATGTAAACAATGCACGCCCCATAGAGCCAATGATTGACCCTGCGTGATGTGACTTCAGGTGTCTAAGGTAGTCATCTTTTACAGAGATAATAGAAGACTTTCGTAATTCTCAGTGAAACAGATTGGATACTGGCTTATTTGCTTATCACATGACCTGAAAGTTGTGCTTGGTGTTACATGCCTTGAGAATTTTGGTTATCTGTTGCCAAATTTTAACGATTTAGTGTCAAAGATGGATATAAAAGTACAAGCCGATAATTATCCTTTTTTGGGGCCTGTATTTCAGACAAAGCACCAAAAAGTTTGTTTTAAATTTACAGACTTTGTCGTTGCTAATTATTCACTTGTTAAGTCTTTATATTTCAGTTTGCTAAATCTATAATCAGTCAAGGTCATCTGTGTCCGTTACCTCTCCATGTTTGTCCGACATATTGGGCGTACGATCGTAGTTTACGTATTTATCCTTTACCTGACCTAGTTATATGTGCCGATAAATGTGATCCGTTTACAACAACACAAGTAGAATGTACCATCATGAATCCAGTAAGTATAAATATTTATTTGTTTTGGTATCCAACCGCGTGGGTTTTCCCCAGGTCCATCGGTTTCTTCACGCTGCTCAAGCAAATTATTAAAATATAAATATACCATATGTTAGTCCCGAAATGACCTAGTTTATGTTTAAACCCCATTTCTCTCTCTATTTGTTTTTTTTGGGGTGTGTGGGGGTGGGGAGGTATTCTAGTGGTTTAACGTGTGCACATGAAATCATAAGGTCTGTCATTGAGTCAAGTGGCCTGGTTTCGATTTCCCGCTTGTATGTGACAAGGAATAGGGTTGCCTGTCCCACCTCGTGGGTTTTCTGCTGGTCCATCGGTTTCCTCCCACTGCTAAAGACCCCTACGCTTAAGTGAATTATTATAATATAAATTCATGTATACCATATGTTAGTCCTGAAATGACCTAGTTTATGTCTAGTTTGATGTTAAACCCCAATTCTCTCTCTATCTCTTTGTTTTGATACGGCCACCATTTAATGTGGATGAATATTGTCGTCACATGTGCCACCTTGTGAACACTCTACAGATCAAAGTTTTGTCTAATCAGAAGATCACAGGTTTAATCCTGGTATTTTAAGGATTTTCCAGTGGGACCAAACGGCAAAGTCCCGTCTATGCGTTGGCATGCAAGAACAGGCCAGATACTAATAGCACACTGCATGACATATGGCCTGGAATCCAGGATACCTGTCACAATAATCAGCAATGGATTTTCGCTAGGCCGCTACAATCACTGATTATGGTAAGTGCAGGACTGCACTACACGTAAAACAAAAATCTACAAGATAAGGATGACATCAATGCGACTTAAGGAGTCTCAAATATGAACTTTTTTCCACCAACAAATTAAATTCTAAAACATTTTTTTGATGTATTAGAAAAATAAATAAAGACGTTTGACATATTTGTTGGTAAAAATTATTTCCTATTTAGTGTAAATGGGTATTAAAATGACTAAAAGGCAGCATTCTGCCCGAAGCAGTAACGTCTTATGTAAACAATGCACCCGCCATTCTGCCAATGATTGACGCCGCCTGCTGTGCATGCATGTGTTAAAGGCAGTCATCTTTTACAGAGATATTAGAGAAGACTCGTAATTCTCTGTGAAACAGATTGGATACCTGTATGTAGAATCAGGCCATATAGCACACTGCATAACGTGTGGCCTGGATACGTAGAATTGTTTAGATGAATATTTTCTGCATCATAAGACATTCGTCACACACCTTGGTATAACAAGTAAAAATTGATAGTGACATTTCATCTGTTCCTGTTAGATACAGTATGTTGATTTGTGGCTGGGGTATTCTGTACTCAGGAGCTGCAGTGGCTCCATTGGCGTCCTCGCTAGAGGTAAAGGGACATAATTTATAGGTGAGGTGGTCCCACGTGACCTCATTGTTTACCTTACAGCATTGTTTTCCTGTACATTCATTACAAACTGGTGTGTTGACAAACATTAGTTTTGGTCGTTAATATTAAATTTAATCCAGATACGGGGAACCAATTTTTCACTAGAGACGCCTGGTGAGAATTCCTTCAGCGAGGACGCCCATTGGACGACTCGCTAACTGGGAGGGCCTGTGTTCGATCCTGGTGTTGGCCGTGAAAGTACATAGAGATTTTCTGGCATGGTTCCTCCTTGTCAGTCGTGCAGGATAGAGGCCAATGTATAGTCATTCGGATGGAATGAAAAACCGAGATCCCTTGTACACATTGTGCATGTAAAAGATCCCTTGGCAGTTGGAATTCGATATGAGAGTGCTGCTGTCTGAGCAAAATTTCCCTCATAGCACACTTTATGGCATATGCCCGTCTTCATTAGCCCAATCAGAGCAGAACAGTAGGATGTTAAACTCCATTTCATTTTGTATTCTGTACTCAATGAATGCTAATTGAGGTAAAACATATTGATTATTATTTGTCTGGAATTTAAAAAAGTTTCGGTTTAACAGTGGAATATTTGTAATTGGGAACTATAGAATTTCAAAAAAATTGTAAACTATACTAACTTCTATGAGAATTTGTTGTTTTAGAAAGACTTATTTTGTGCATGTAAATTGCAAATATTTAATTGCAAGTCACAAAAGTTGTGTTGATAGGACATTGATATTATGAATTGTCTACATCCAAATCTTTTCTAATAAAAAAGATAAGATAAGATAAGATTTTTTTTATTGCATCAAAACACCTAAAAAGAGGCAACATACAGCATACAAATGTACCATACATAATATATGAATGTAATATAACAGAAAATAGTGAGATATTGAATTTCTTATGTTTTAAAAATATTAATATTTTAGATTTAAAATATTTGACTATTTATTTATTATCTGTAATTGTGTTTATATTCAAATTTAATCTTAAAATCTTATCATTTGAACAAAGTATGACCTTCTCTAATACAGATTTCTAGTATGAAAAATCTTTTTTAAACATACATTATGCAAGAGCTAAATATGCCTATTCCAGGTCTTTCTTTAGGCCTGAAATGTTATATAAACTATTAATTAGACATTAATTAACTGGTCCAGGCCATAATCAAGTCTCGATGGCATCGGATTTCTCTGATATTAAATAGATTAAAACGGTTCAGCCATATTTTGATTTAATTTAAAAATGGAGGAGCGAGACTTAGCTTCGAACAACCAGTACGATGGTTGCAATTATTGCACACGTCTTATCAAACCTTCAAAGACTAATATCTTCGCTTGCAATAGAGTAATTTGAATCAAATTTTCAAATTATTCATTTTACATTATCTATTTTTGAACTATTATAGCAAGAATGGCTAGCTCTTTATCTAAATCTTACATAATGTATTTTTAATACAGATTTCTAGATGGCTAAAGGTCATATTTAACACCCTTTTATAACCTCCACTTCTACTTTTGAAAAAATTTGAAAATTATTTCTAGATTGCTTAAAGCTACATTATGGGAGATTCGATAATGAGTTGGCAGTTCTCATTATAATAATTAAAAACTAGATAACGTAAAGGTAATTTGCTGAAAATTTCATTCAAATTGATCCACTATGAACTGAGAACTAAGTGAATGAAATTTCTGCCTAGCCTTGGTCATCATTACTAAAGTCAGTACGATAAACAGCATAGTCTCGATTATCCATTTAATCGTTTAATCGAGAAGGAAAGTTATGCAGTAAATCGACTTACAATCCACTAAAGATCGCAGGCTAGCGCTGCCATCTAGAGTTGATTATGGCCTGGATAGGTTAATTAATATCTAATTAATAATTTAGATAACATTTCAGGCCTAAAGAAAGACTTGTAATAGACAGATTTAGCTCTTGCATAATGTATGTTTAAGTCTAGTATGAAAAGTATTTCTCAATCCACATTTCTACAATTTATAAGCATTGTTGTCCTGGGCCTAAATATATTTATCTGAGAAATCTGAATGATAAGCCTTTCACTTGAACCACCTTCAACACAGAGAGGTATATTCATTTACCAGATAACCAAAAAACAAGTTTTGTGATAAAAAAAAAAATGGTTTTAATTGCTTGTGAATTTTATTTCTATTCTTTGTCAACAAAAAAACTTCAATCCACTGGTTGCCTAACCTTGAATGTCAAGGCTACACGCATTTGTCTACAAATGTTTGTTTTGAAAACGATGTTTAATCAATCTCCGTGACGACGACTCAAACAAATTTCTCTGCTGTTTATTTTAGCATTTTTGAGCATTGAGAGAGAATTAAGTTAAAGCCTTCTTCACGTCTTTCTGAATAGCATGGAGGAATTTCTCATTTCTAACCAAATCTTTTTATATTAACTTTCCTCAATTATTTCACTCCCTTTCTTTAACATAAGTTTGAAGTTTCAAATTATCAAGTACTGTTTTCTATATGTGTTTACAGTATAATGTGGTTTTCCTTCCAATTAATTAAAGTAACATTATGTAAGAGCTAAATCTGCCTGTTGCTGGTCTTTCTTTTAACTTTGAATGTTATATAAATTATTATTTAGACATTTATTAACATGACAAAGCCCATAATCAACTCTCTAGACAATCGGATAGCAGAGATTTTAATGGATAACAATAAATGGATAATCAAGGCAAAGTCCTGGTTGTCAAGTACTGTTGCTACGATAATATTAGATCTACGTTTCATCTTCATATAGCCATAACTTTTCCCAGAATATAGTAATTTGAATGAAATTTTCATTATATCTATTTTCCATTATCTATTTTTGAATTATTATAGCGACCAGCTCATTATCTTAATCTTACATAATGCATCTTTAATGAGCTTGGCGGTTGGATGGCCGAATGGTTAGCGTGTGCGCGCTGTATCATAAGGTCTGTCATTGAGTCAACTGGCGTGGTTTGATTCCCTGGTTGTACGTGACAAGGAGTTGGCTCACCTGCCCAACCTTGTGGGTTTTCTCCGGGTCTTCCGGCCCCTACTCGCAAGCGAATTATGGAAATAAAATTGAACCATGTGTTAGTCCTGAAATGACCTAGTTTGTGTCGAGTGGATGTTAAAACTCTCTCTCTCTCTCTCTCTCTCTCTCTCTCTCTCTCTTTGTTAAACTTCATTGGTACACAGACTTTTATTTCTGAGACGCTGTTAAAATCGGGATAGTCCCTTTAAAACAAAGCCCATTGTTTGCACACAAAAATGGGAACAGTGATGAAAACGACAACAACAAACTTTGAAAGATTTTAATTTAGAAACAATTGGCTATTTTAGTTATTCATGGTATTCAGTTTAAAGACTTGTTCATAATCCTTTGTAAGGGAGTTTAATTTTGTTGATTGTTGTACTCACGTTTATTTATGATACAACGTAAAGTTTTATTGTAAAAAAAACATCTTGTCATACCTATATACTCAAAACTATCAACCTATAATAACCCCTCTTTTAATTACTTGCTGGAAATACTGTGAAAAAAAACTTACGGATATCTGTTGTTGTTTTTTAAACAGATTGTGATGTAATTGTGAATTTGGGT